AAATATTAACAGAAATGGCGACAGAGATGCATGGAATTTGTTTACCATCAGTCAATTGAAGGTTAAACTTTAAAACAATGTTGGTCGTTCCCATGGAATATTTTTGACTTTAATGGTATTAGTCATGATATGAATCTCAAGGTATGAACGAGGAGAGATGAGAGACTTATATGCTTCCCAAATTTCTTCAAAAGGTAATGTTATACCTGACTGTTTCCAAATGAGTTCAATATCATAACGTGAGAAACCTTGAAAGATAACGAAGTCAGTTATGAGACGTTTTATGTTTAAAGCTAAAAACCCCATGTTTGCATAAGTATTGCTACAGTTAAGTGGTAATGTCTGACTTTAGTAATGATGTTAGCTAATGGTGAGTCTGGTTTGACACTAAACCTTTTCCGGCGAAGTCGTCGCAAACGAGCAGAGTGTTTGAAGGATATTTTTTGAAGGGGTATTTTGAAAGTTTTGATAGAATGTAGTTTGTAAGTCGTTTCATATCGTAAACTCCTGAGTATGACGTAAGTGGTGTTTGTCAATAATTCTTTCCATCTCCTCAGAAGTCTTTTGCATTCCTGACTGTATAAATCAACGATGGCATAATATTTCCTCTTACGTCGAATGTAACGTTGAAGAAATTCAATGAGTTCACTGTCTGGAACTTTAACGACAGAGGCTTGAACTTTTGACATAAATGTTTTCGCTGTTGAGTCCATAGAGTCTGAAGTTGCTGATATAATGATTTGGTCATAGTAAGAGTCGTTTCCTAAACGCTCTGTTATGAGTATATGACGAATGAGGTTAAATGTCTTACCTGAACCCATCTTTCCACAATAGAAATACACACCATTTGAACAGAATCATAGTCTTACTGAAAGGAAGAATAAGAGAAGAGTTAAGTTTGTCTGTAGTTTCATTCATGTCTTCATCTACGTCATGTATTAAATGCTTCATTTTATCTCCATTAAAAATGCAAGTCAGAAATATTCAGAACATAGCACCGAGTCTAACTGACAAGAGTATAAAGATATACTATGAACACGTTATGATGAAACCAACCAAAATTCAAGAAAGTCAGTATACTTATGAATATCCAAGACACTGGGTAGAGTATGTAGGAGGTGAGAAAGCTATTGAAATCAGACAGGTTCGAAGTATTCCAGCAGGAAGAACAATATTATTGAAGAACTTTAATGTTTTGAGGTATAATGATGAAACAAAGAAGCAAGATAGTTTTCCTGTTGCTGTGTATGTGAACCTAGATACAGGAGATGACATGAAAGTTTTTACACAAAGCTTCAAACGGTAGTGAGAGAACAACTGACTGCGGAAGGACATCCATTACCTTCAGAAGTTACCATAGCATATAATTTTGAAACAAACTCAATAGATTTTAAAGTCGTCTCTGCAAAGAAGTCAGGTTTTACATTTAATGAAGCAGATGTATATTCGAATGAAAACTTCAAAGCTATTGCATGGTTAGATAATGACGATTGCTTTAAGAAAATATTTAAATTCAGTGACTCAAAGATGTCAATAGATGACCTTCGTGGAATGTTACCATCGACGTTTACAGTAGAAGGTTCAGCAGGATTGCTTACAAGATTGTCAATTGGTGGTATTTGGTCTCGTGAGAACATTGTTATAAAATCCAGTATAAGTGAATTTGCTGAAGAATCTATATTATGTCTTTCAAACTATATGTATTCGCCGCCGAAGCATTATAGTATAACAAACTTTGTCAGTAAGTTTAACATAAGACTTGTCGAACCTTCTTCAATGAAAGATGTTGTGCTACCTAAAGATGGAAAGGATGGACTCATTATTGAGATGATTTTAATAGCATATTAAATGAGCTTGTTCTTGAAGGTCATTCATGATGAAATAACTGTTGTAGAAGATGTTAGCAATTGTTCAGACATTTTGAAGCGTATAGATGATATAAGAAAGAAGTTAGATAGACCGCAAAGCGGTGAGGGCGAAGCCCGTGAGAACGCTTATGTTTCATTGACTTTCTCCAGTAACGAGAACTTTTATGAGATAATATTGAAGAGAGATGATTTTAATATGGTGTAAATGGTAGCTTGGGCAGCTTTAGGCGCAATGGGAACAAAAGCATTAGCATTTGGAGCAAAAGCACTTGGAGCTTATGACGCAGTAAATAAAATGAGTGGAGGAAGGGTTTCGAAAGACATTAGATGCAAATAAAGGAAGATTGGAGGCTGGGTTGCAAAGAAGTTAAGATTAAATAAAACAGGGCTCATAAATAAAGCATCCAATTTAGTTGCGACTGAGTCAGAAAATGCTTTAGGAAAGGACGATGAGTTTGCAAAACACGCAAAAGACTTTAATGACCAGATGAAAGGCGAAACAATGCATTTAAATAGAGTCGATGGAACTAAAGAAAATGTTTCTTCTCCACCAGTAGTTCTTCCGTATGGTCCCTATGGAATGTATGGAAACCCTTACGAAAGACCATTTGACCCATTGACTGGTGGAAGTAATTGGTATCATTACGGCCGAAGAAGAAAGACAGTCAAGTTGGAGACGGACGTAAAGAAAGCAACTAAAAAGAAACCAAGGAAGAGAGTTATAAAGCAATGAATTCAACAGGGTAGAAATGAGGTTAGAAATCGGGTTAGATCTAACCTTCTACCCTAAATTTATTTTTGTGCTATGTTTTCATACGTGTGAGGGTGGTGATATCATTTATTTTTAAGTTTATTTTTTAAAATTATTTTTTATTTTATTTTTATATAAATGACAGAACAAAAGCAACTCATACAAATCGAAAAATATAACAAACATACATTTAAACATTTATTCTTCCTTCCTGAGTATAACATGTTCTTTACACTTCATCCTAGACCAGTTGACTATACACTGACTGTTTATAAAGATTGTCATGGTAGTTTTATAAAAACTTATGATGATGAAGGTAAGTTAACAAGACTATGCATTTCAAAACTTGAGAAATTTTATGACTTCAAGTATGACTACAATAGAGTTAACATTGACGATGAAGATATAGAAGAAAATTTATGAGAACGTTTATTTTTTCATTAGTGAGTTCGTTAGTGAGGTGAAGTGGTTGGCGGCTTTGTAAATATTTAAGGTTAAGTTAGTTTTTGCGTTTGATTTGTAAAATATACGTTAACGGTTTTGTAAAGTGTCAAATTCACATATAATGGGTAAGGAGGCGCGCAGTGCCTCCGTACACTTGTTAGGTAATCTATCTATCTGTTTTTGTTATCTTCATACTCAAATACAACAAATACAAATAGATTTATTACGAAAAAACGTATAAAACAAATGATATATTTATTTCTAGACAAGTTGACGAACATGTAGCGCAACTGTATCGCTTTAGAGAACAGTTCTTCCAACACCTACTCATTCAGTGAAAGATTTAAGAAGAACTCTTACTCGACCTTAACTACCTACGCTTTGCTTGAACAATTCCCAACGAGGTTACTATAAGGTTGCAAGTCTTGTCAAAATGTAGTATGCAATACGTTGGGGAAAAATAAATATATACGAACAAACTACTACAGTCTAGCAACTAGTCTTTAAGTGTAATGTATTTTTGCTACAAAGAGCTCATAACGAAGTCAAATTTTGCAATTTGATGTCAAAACTAGCTAGTTGTTGAATCAAATAGCGTTGTGACTTTGTATACATCACGATCTTGTGGTATCAGAGCTGTACTGCTGCATACTAATTCAACTAAACATAAGCAAGATTGGGATTTCTATTCTCTGGGGTGCGAGGCTCGTCCAAAGTTCAAGCAGCTACAGTGTTTTGGATCACCTAAAGAACTTTGGGAATTCAGTTATTACGTAAATTTCTCAAGATGAACTTGAGAGCAGCGCAGTTATAACGAAAGTCGCTGATGAAAGGCAATGATTTCTTTCATGAATGATCTAACGTTAGCTTGAAATCAGGAAAAGAGACTATTGATGACTTACTTTCCATCGATGGTGCACAACAGCAGGGAGGGGATTGGTGGGTTTGGGGAATTTCGCTGAGGCACTAGTGTCCGGATTGTTCGTCAAATAGGTTTCCTTTCCTATAAAGAAATGACACTTTTTTGGCGGCTTATTGACTCAGAAAAATTTGAGAGTTAACGAATAATTTTGGCGCCAAAAATAATTTCTCTTAATTTATTAAATTTAATATACGCACATCCATAAGTTATGCTATTTTTTTCTATTTATTTTGTTCTAAAATTCTAAATATTTTTTTTTCATAACATAAAATATGATGTCTAGTCTTATTTACATAACAACATGCCTTAGAATAGTTTTTTTATTCTTTTTGTCACTTTAAATTAAGAATAAAAAGATAATTTAAATTGAATATTTGCGATTATTCTCACTAATGCTGCTTCCTCTTTTATTAGGTAGACAACAAAAAGTTAGCCTTGGACTCCCATATCAGATTTTTGATTGGTTGCGTATATAATGAGCTGGGATTGATAGACGAAAACCCAGTGAGAAAATTTTTGACGCCAATATAAACAATTGTTTAATTAGCAATAAAAATATCGTATTTTTGCATTTTATAAGTTGCTTAGCATTCATTATCTGTTATTTGAAAGTTTTTCCTGCCTGGACCCACAATTCACAGAGATTTAATGAGATTCGCGTCACTTTTTCCACCAAGGAGCATTCTGACAACTAACAAATTTTTTAGGTCACTGTACAAGCGAAATTGAGAATAACCAAGCTATATCTCCTTTGTATCTGCGTTAAAGCCTAGCGAAAAGTACATGTTTCAAATTCTGAATGATATGTGAATTCACATGACTATTGTGAATTCACATAGACAAGCTTGATTTGTTTAAATATTGGGTAAGAACAATTAGAGGAATAGGAGTAACTAGACGATAGCTGATTTGCAAATTCAATGTAAAACCATCATAATTGAATTAATTGTAATTTTTCTGACAGCAATACCTTTCAAAATTTTTTACATTTCAAACAAATCATTTTTCTTCTGGAATGTTGGACAAACTATTAACTCCTGTTAAGATAAACAAATGCATCGTACCAAATAGGTTCATGAAATCACCAACATACATGCATGACTGTGATGAAAATGGCTTTGCCATTCCAAAATACCAGAAATATTATAGAGATCTTGCAGATGGTAAGTTTGGACTCATTACTCTTGGATATTATGCAACACATAAGAAAACCAGAGCTCTTCCTGGTCAAGCCATCTTACACACTGACGCGCATGCAGAAGGTTGGCGTGAAACTATTGATTATATTCATTCAAAAGGTGCCAAAACAATCATGCAAATTGCAGATTGTCGTAACATCAAGACAAATGGCAAGTTTATGTCCCTTTCTGAAATTTCCGAGTCAATTGAACTTTTCGTGAATGCTGCTAAAAAAGCGCAAAATGTTGGAGCAGACGGAATTGAAATACACGCTGCACATGGATATTTACTCTCTTTATTCCTTTCTCCACTTACTAATACAAGAGAAGATTAATATGGCGGTAACAGAAAGAACAGATCTCGCATGCTCAAGGAATGTGTTGAAGCAATTCGCCGCGAGTGCGGCAAAGACTTCCTTATTGCAACAAAAATCAATTTTGATGATGGTTACAATGGAGGATTAGTTGCAGAAGAAGTTGCCAAAATATGTGGATCAACTAACGGAGTTGATCTATGGGAATATTCAAATACCCTGAAAGCTGTCAGGAACTCTTTGGATCCAAAAACTGCTCGTCCAGTTAAAGGTGGATGGCATATTAAAACACTTCCAATTCTAAGAAAAGGTACTGATGCAAAGATTGCAATTGTTGATAGCATTAGAAAAAAACACACATGATCAAAGGAATTGAACTTGGGGCTGACCTGATTTCTTTCGGACGCCCAACAATTGCAGATCCACATATGGTTCAACATCTCTTAGAAGGAAAACCAATCAAGTGCATTTCTTGCGATAAGTGTCGGCAACATCTTCTTGTTGAACCAGTTAAATGCTATGCATTTTGAGATGAAATAATAAAGAATTCATTTATTAAAATGGCTTCTTAGTACAATTTTATTCTTTCACTGCATCAGAATACTTTAATAAATACTAACAATGAAAATTATACACTCTTTTTGTCCAGATAATTTTCAGAACTTAGAAGATAGTCATAAGAAATAGTTGGCAATACGGATCACGATAGTTGAAATAAATTTGGATAAGATACATCCTATAAGAATGCATTCAATACCTTCTGAAACTCTCTTCATAAAAGCAATATATTATCATGAAAAGACACTGAAAAAGAAATCATAAATAGGGAAATTTGAGATTTTAGATTGTTTTTTGCAGATCCATTAGCAGGATCAATTGCCATTTTACCTTCATTATCCATTGCTTCTTTATTGGCACCAAAAGAAATAATATATTAACAGCTTCAAGTTGACCATTAATTGTAGCTTTCAAGAGTGGAGTATTTCCAAATTTATCATTTGCTTCTATATTGGCTCCAGTAGAGATAAGATATGTAACAACATCAAATCTGCCATAGTGTGATGCACTAATGAGTGGAGTATATTCATCATTTTTCTTTGCTTCTATGTTCGCTCCAACGGAAATCAGATATTTAACAATTTCTAGATGATTATTATTTGATGCTTTAAAGAGTGGAGTATTTCCAAGTTTATTCCCTGCTTCTTTATTAGCATCAACAGATATATGATATTTTACATCATCACGTTGACCATATCTTGATGCGCAAATGTGTGGTGTTTATCAGCACCAAAAGAGATAAGATATTTAACAACTTCAAGTTGACCAAAGTGTGATGCAATGATGAATGGATTACATTCTTCATTATTCTTTGTTTCTTTATCAGCTCCAATAGAAATAAGATATTTAACAACTTCAAGTTGAACTTTTTCTGAGGCTTTAATGAATATAGTAGATTTCCAATCATTCTTTGATTCTTTGTCACCGCCACATTCAATCAGATATTTAATAAGTTCTAGATTTCCGCATTGACTTGCAACATGAAGTACTTATATTTTGATCATTTTCGTACTAAATGATTTCTAAATAAATTGGCATTAGATACATCCTATAAGATTGCTCTCATTTTATGCAAATTATCCCGTTATGGATGCAATTTTTACCTTCTGAAACGATCTCAACAAAAGCAATATTTAATCATGAAAAAGCATGGAGAATGAAGTTGTTAATGCCTCATGTAACTCTCTATATATTAAAAAAAATGAATTGGAGGCAGAGTATCTAATCATATGTTTTTAATAATGATTGTAGACTTTAGTTTATGAAGATTTGGAAATGTTTACTAAAGTTTGCAAAAAAAGAGAAAGTTCATTAACTTCAGAAATACTTTTATTGATAATTGCAAATTCTGCTTGGCAATTACCAGTTGAAAAATGAATCAAATTGTTAGTAAATAGTTCTCTTGTATTAGTAGGTTCTACAGTATTTCTTTTAAATGTTGATGAAATCGAATTGTCAATGTAACAACTATCAACTGTTAATTGATCATTGTTAAGGATACCCTTACATTGCGTAGTTAGAAAGAGAATATGATATTGTCATGATTGCTAAAGTTTTAGGCTCCAGAAATGAATATACATCAAACTGAAACAATTGATAAATTGAATGAACTTTTGAGAGGTTCTCAAATAAAAAAAATTATCTAATTTTTTACAATATTACTATTATTTTATCCACATATGTATATATAGTAATTTGAGAAAACTTTTAGGAAAAAATAAGTTTAATAAAAATCTGAATTTTACTTGTTGTGGGATTGTTATTAATTGACACTCCAGACGTATTACTAATAGTTATGCGTATGCAATTAAAGTATTTCTGATGGACAAAATGTGAGATTTATATCAGATAATTCATTTCTACTATTAAGTTATTCATTTATGAGTTTGCACTTATTCGCACTAAATAAATAACTATTAAAAATTGTTTTAATTAATTGACACCATATAATAGAGTGAATTTTGTTTGATCAAACAACAATAGATGATAGATATAAAGCCAAGAAACTTGCTATTAATATGCTCTACTTGCTATTTCAATGTAAGTATGATATTTTCTAAATGTTTCGTTCAGATAACTTAGATATATTAGTCAAAATTTGAAATTTTAATAGCACATATATTAAAAATAATTATTATTCATAAAAGATTAATGAAATAGTAAAAAAAATCAATCAAATTATAAAAATACAACATTTAGAAGAATTCTTATTATCCTTCAAAAAGTCAGTATTTCTGCTGTAATTTTCTACAACATTGTAGTTATTGCACTTTGTCTATGGATTTGTATATATGTTATATATAAATTATATATCTAAACTGCCCATAAGTGCAATTTTTATATAAATTGTTTATTTCTTTAACAATTTCATATGAAATATGCTTTTTTAAGCGTATCAAAGCTGTGTTCTTAATGTGCATGGATATATCAAGAAAAATGTCGAAAAAAAAGTGAATTCACAAATTCACTGAATTTTCACCGTTTTTTGAATTTTGCTACAGCACTAATATTAAATAATACTAAAATCTTCTGTCTTTGTAAAAGAATAAATTCTGACAAAAAGTGCTCGTTTAAATTTAATGATCATCTGTATGACTAAGTGGTAAAAAGTGTTTATGACCAAAAAAGGGTTACATGCTTAGTCTATTTTTCTGACAGGATACTCTAGATTTACATGATCTCTATTTCATATCTCCGTTTTTAGATTCTTCGACAGATTTTATGATAGAAAACCAAGATTAACAAATTTCCGGCATGTTAATGAAGAAATCTGCAGCTACCCTCAATATTATTTCAATAATCAGTATCGTTTCTCTTACAATTTATTTTTTTCTCAATAATTTAACAAGAAATAACAATACACACTTGGTTTTACGTATAAAAGCTAAGTGTCGAACTTAATCAACTTTACTTACTTAGCAAATGAATATTTTTGTGGTTGCGAGTTCTGAATGCTGAAGTTTTAGATTTCTCTATAAATGATATCATTGCACTTACAATGTTGTTCCAGCCTATCGCATAAATCATAGAAAATCCAAAAAAAAAAATAATATAAAGAAAATTCATGTCATGAAGTTCAAAAAATACCGTGTAACATTAAAATTTGTTATGCATAATACATTTTAGCTATTATTGATTTTTTTTAATTTTCGAGAAATTGAATGGTGAGTCCGATAGAGAAATTTTTAAAAATCCTAGTGCCTCATAGAAGTAATTTCCCTCGTCTCCCATACTTCCAAATGTATGCATATGACATAAACTTTTATGCATTACACAAGTGGCCAATAATATCTATAGAGTAAAAAATTAGAAATTTAATTTTTTATATGATAGTTATATTTCAGATTTGCGAGCGTAACTTTTTTCTCCATGGCATACTTGTTTTAAGAGCAAATGATCAAAATCGTCCTTCAATTATTGAAGGAGCTGATATCTTTTGAAAATTGAATTGAAAGGGTATTCAATTTTCAAATTTCCTCTCAATTTTGGAAACATATCAACTCTATGAATTAACAATTATGTGCCTTCACAGTTTATCAGTCATATAAGGTGCTTATAAAGAAAAAAGTTACGCTCGCAAAATATGTTTTTATATAGATTTCACATAAAATAATTATGTAATTTCTAAAAAGAATATTTTTGTTCTTGAATATTAAAGTGTATTGTAGTTTAAAAAGTTTTAAATATGTTGCTAAAATTTCAGGTTTATAGCTCATGTCTAGCATGACTTCTTCGTATGCGCAAAAAATCTGACACGTAAGGGTATCCTTAAATATCAAATATGAACCTTCAGGACCAGTGTTGTTAATAAAAGAACAACTTTTTACAGTAAGAGAATTATATTGATGGTAAATAATTCCATATGTTGATTGTGTATTAGTATTATTTATAATATTACATGAATCAATCAAAGCGTAATAGTGAATATTTATCATTTGACCATAATTATTTGTTGCTAAATTATTAACAACAGTTGAATAATTAAATGTTGTTGTGTATTTACGTGAATCACATTTAAACCATCCAACAGAATATGAAGTAGCTTTACATGATGAGAAATTTGTTGATGAAACTACAATATTATCACTCATTGTATAAAATGTAAAACTACCAACACTTTCATTTCCTACATCGAAAAGGGAACTTTCAATAACAAAGTTTAAGTTATCTGTGCCAACTTCTGTATATGAAAATTGGCCACTTTTTGAGCTTTGGCATTTTGTACAACAGAATTTTCGTTGAACAATTGAACTATTGCTGCCAATAACGTAGTAAATACAAGTTCCATCTTCTTTTGATATGCAATTACTAAAAGAACACCGATTATGTAGGAATAGAGAGTTTTCAATTGGGTAAAAGTAGATAACTCGGTTATTATCATCAAAAAAAATGCACTCATCTAAGAAATACTGGTGATTGTTGGTCTCTAGATTACAGTTCTGACGATTTTTGATTGGATTACCTGTAAACTGAATTGGAAAATAACTATTCCAGGGATCGTCATCTTCTTCAGATGACTTTCCCCAAAAATTTTCCAATTGTCAAAAAAGACGATATGTAAAAAAGGGAAGTTTCACTTTTATTGCGTCTTTATACGGGCGTGAAGCATGTTAAAAATGCAATAAAAGTGTAATTATCATACTAATGATTATTTTTGATTATAATGCCGAAAGACATTTGATATGTAAAAAAGGGAAGTTTCACTTTTATCAAAACCACAAAGAATGAAAATATGTTTGAAGCATTGAAATATATATTTGTATTATGGAAGTAGTATGCTTTGAAGATTTTTTATCACACTGGTGAACTACAATAAATTTGCATTTGATATATCGTATAAGATTGCTCTCACTTTATGCGAATTATTCGGTTCTGGATATTCTTAATACCTTCCGAAATTCTCTGAAAATAAGTAATATTTCATGAAAAAACTCGGAAAATGAAATCATAAACAGTGAAATTTGAGAAGTTTATAGCATCTGTTACTCTTTCAATAAAACCAATATCTAGGCACGAAAAGACACTGAAAAAGAAATCATAAATAGGAAGATTTGAAATAAGATATTGTTTAGATTAGTTTAAATGTAACAAGATAAATATATATATAAAGTTAGTTTGGAAAGAAGAATCCCCAAATTTCGATTGCATCTGGCTTGAATTGGTGTTTTCCAGCCAAAAATTCCTTTGCTGCTTTGCTTCCGTACTTCAAACCAACTCCAAATGAGTTTTCTATAGCAGAAGAACACTCTTCAAGTGACTTTCCACTGATTTTGAGGTCTTCTCCACCAAATGAAATATAATTCTCGGTGGAAACAGTGTAAAACGTGTCTTCTTTCTGTCCTCCGTATGGAATATAGGCATCCTTTGTCAATTGGAACAGGAATGTCGATGATTTTTCGCGTTTTGGATTGCCATCTGGTGTCCATTTGGTTCCGGCGAATCCTCCGAAGATATTCTTGCCGAATTTGATAAGAACACATGTTATTCCAACGTTGTCGACATTTTCATGTAAAGATTTCATTGTCATTCCGTGGATAAATGAGGAGAATAAGATGTGAGGCTCTGGAACGGCTTTGAATGGTAAGCAAAGGTATAATCTGTTCCTTAATTCATCATTTGTTAAGATTTGAGAGTCCTGGAATGGAACAAAATCAAATTTTGTATTCATTTCCTGGAATTTCTTGAGTTTTCTCTCAGCAATCTTAGCAAGAGATGATATATGTGGTAAATCTTCGATTTCTTCTTCATCTTCTTCAGCATTTTGATCGGAATCAAATTCATTTATTTCTCTGTTTTGAACTAAAGAAGAATTGTTCAATTTCGCTGGAACTGCCTGTGGTTTCACTTGAATTTGTCCGAAAACATCGAGATTTGCGATTCCTTCAATCTTAAGTGGCAAATCTTTGTTTTCTTTTACGAAATTCGTGTATAACTCATCATCTTTAACAGTTTGCAATACATATAATGGTTCACCTTCATCAATAGCACCTTTAACAAGGTTCTTTTGCCTTTCTAATTCGTTTTTTTTACGAATTAATTCTAATTTTGCGGATTTAACGAGATTTGCTGATTGATTTGACTGGTTTCTTGCATCATGTATTGCCTTCATGGCCATTCTCATGATTTCGTCTTCTGTTTCTTTGAGATTCTTGGCAATTTGCTGTAATTCAGCATCTTTATTCTTAATTTCGTTATCGAGGATCTGGCGGCGCTTTGTTATAAAGTCTGATTCATCCTGATGCTCTTTTACACAGTTCTTGAAGGCTTCATCGATTGGAGTTAATTTATGCTTAAGAAACTCTCTGTTAGAGTGAGATCCTTTGACTTTGCAATCAACACAAACAGGAAGTTTGCATTTGTTGCAGTAATACTGTACAGGATGGTCTTGATGTTCTGGACATTTCTGATTTTGACTCAAAGAAGTTTCTAATGGTTCTCTCTTATGGTTCTTTGTTTCTTGAGACTTATGTTGTGATGCATCGCACTTTTGGCAAAGCTTTAAATGGTCATTTGTGCAATATAATTTTGCATCTGGTTTTCCGCAAATATCGCATACGTTTCTTGATGGATTTACCTTTTCAAACTTTGGATCCCATGTAAATTTAACTAAATGGAGGTTCTTAACCTGATTTTGGTGGAAAACAACGAATTTATTATTTCCAATACGAAGAGAGTCGTATCCAGATGGAAGATTTTCTGATGTTGGTGGTGTAGAGATGTATTGAATTGAATCAAGTGGTGCTTTCATATCTTGATAATTATAAACAGCTCCTAAAGCAATTTGAGCATGATATAATACGTTCTCCCCTGATTTATTAATTTTAATATCATTGAGAGTGAATGCAAAGCCATCCTTTGGTGAAACACGAATTCCATATCTACTAACATTAGATACGTCTTGTGAAATCTCGGAAACTGGTATAAATGCATCTACAACATTGACTGGATTGTGATTTTTAATGAAATTTTCGAATTGAGTGATAATTGGCTTTAATTTGAAGTCAGAAAGCTCAGAAATCTTCAGAGATGGTGCATTGAGCTGCATTCTTAAAAGATGTTCGGTATATCTGAACTCTTCTGAAAAGGATGGGATATTTGACATAAAAATAATTATCTGTTATCAAGACGTTAACTTTACAAAATTTTGTAAAGTTGTTACAATTATATTGGCGCTTCACGCCATTAATATCATTCATTATGGAATCATCCATCACAACTAAGAACTCATGTATATTTTGTCAGCGATTTGAGAAAGAAAACTCTTCGAAAACTTGTCACTATCGATAGATTATGTATTCATCATTAGTTTAGTTAATTATCAGGTTAAATGCGGGAAAATTTTAGCCTAACCAAGGATATAATTAGTATGTTTAAGTCATATGCCAATGTTTTGTAAATTAAGCAAAATTTGTACTTGTTCATCAACTTTCTTCACATAAAATAGAAAATCCTATTGTACACATTTTGAAAGTACATTTTGTACGATTTCGTTATATAAATACGTTTAGAATTTTCTTTTCAATTTCAATTTAATCATCATGTGTTCTCAGTATATAGAGAAATATGGTGATTTCATAGATGCTTACGATAAACTCTTTCACCTTAAAGCTGATGAAACTATTGAAGTTGTTTTCGATTTGATTACAGAAATTATAGTTTCAAAATACAAAACTGCATTTAAAGATCTTATATTGAGTATTCTCACTGCAATCCAGTATAATTATGGATCTGTTGCACTTTATATTAAAATACTTAATCAAATCTTAGCCAAGTATGCATTTTCATATAAAAATTTATTACAAGATAGATATATAAGCGGCATTTCACAAAGATTGCGTTTAAATATTTCCATAAATTCTGATATTTCCAGCCAAGTTGATTTTAATAGAGGATCATTTCCAAAAGAGAACGAAATTCAATACATTATCATGCATGACCAAATTGATAAATTTAGAGAATACATTTCTGAAAATTCATTGGAAGGTGTATCAATAAGTTTGCCTATATTTTTTAAATTTTTTAGTACAATTGATCCATTTTCACCTATTGAAGCTTGCTGCTACTTTTGATCAGTGAATATTTTTAATTTCATGACTTCGAATTTAAGGGTGCACACGAGAGGATCATGTAAACTTCAGAATTTAGAACCTTATTTTTAGGCATGATCTTGGCTACCTATTTAGGCTCGAAAAGCAAAAAATATCAAAAAATACAACTTGACTCCATTATGACCCTTTCATGGAGGTAGTTTTTATCCGCTAGTATTTTCCCTTTGAATCTCTTTACAATTCGAAATCAAATTCAAATCTCAGTAGAAGAAAGGAAGAATCGACTTACTACGGTTGTAATACGAATAAATACATATATTTAATTATTTTTATTTACATAATAATTGTTTGAAGCTCATATTCCATCAAATTTTTAAATAAAAACATTAAAATGTTGAAAATGTTCATATATTTTAATAGGGTTTCGGCACTTTATTGAGGAATTACTACATACATAGTCGAACTGAACTTGATATTTTGAAATTTAAATTATTTATCAAAATTAAAATTTAACTTGAAATTTATAATTATTTAGTCATATTTTGCATAATTCTAAGTAGATTTTGTAAAAAATCAAGAAAGAAAAATTTTAACGTGCTTTATTTTTTCTTTTTTATAATAATACATATTATTATATAATTAACATATTCATAATGTTTCACCCTTTCAAAAATATAATCCTCCTCCTCGCAAATAAACGTACATACGGGTGGCCTCTTTTTTCAAAAAATTAAAATTTGAAATTTTGGGCTCAAATATTAGAGATTTTTTCAACCTTCAACGATATATGTTGTCTATATCAGACCTCCTTTCTTTTTGATACTTAACATTGTTCCTAAATCTTAGCCGTTAAGGCTGTTCTGAAAATATTTTTTTTTTCGAAAAAATTCGAAAAAAATTCTTAAAATTCAAAAATCCCTTAATTCATGAGGATTTTGGGAAAAAGTTTTTACATGAACATGTGTATATTATATGAAGTATATTGATAAGGTAAAAATCAAATTTTATTGCATATTCATCGAGAAAATAAACTAACGAATCCCTCAAAATTGAGAGGGTAATCCTCCTCCTCTCAAATAAACGTACATACGGGTGCACCCTTAAACACAGAAATCACAGAGAAATGCCTTAAATATTCATTTATTGGTAATAACACAGACATCATCAATGAATGTATGAAAGATATTGAAGTTCATTATTCAGACTTGGAACCAATCATTTGTTCACATAACAATAATTTCCTTAAATATGTCATTGACAAAGGAATATTTAATCTTGGTAATTATAGTTACATTGAATTAGGAATACTCAAGTCGCAGAACTTGAAAGCTGCTCTTATGATGTTTGATGATGACACTGATTCAGTTATGCCATGGTGCGTTGCTTTTCCCCAGTTTAATGACATTATAAATAATGATAACTTTAATTTCTTCAAAAAGACCAAAGATAATAGAACTGTCCTTCATTTTGCAGCTTCATATAATAATATTAATATCTGCAATTATTTATCAACTTCAACAACAATAAACCAAATTGATGTTAATGCAACCGATACTGATTTTGAAAATACTGCACTTCATTATGCAGGAGAAAATAATTCAAAAGAAATTGCAGAGTTTCTTATTGCGCATGGAGCTAATCTCAACTTAAAAAATAATCAAGGAAAAACAGCTCTTCTTATTGCATTGGAAAGGAATAATAAAGAGACAGCAGTAGCTCTTATTCAGGGCGGCGCAAATGTCAAAAAGAAATGTAAAAATGGGACGTCTGCACTCCATTTCGCTGTAATAAACAATTGGAAAGATATAGCAGAACTTCTTATTTCGCATGGAGCTGATATCAATGCAATTGCTCGAAATATGGATTCAGTTCTTTGTACTGCTGCAAGATATAACAGGAGAGAAATAACTGAACTCCTTATTTCTCATGGTGTAAGTATTTTAAGTCCACTTAATCAAACGGTTCTCCATGTCGCAGCTCAATGCAATAGTAAAGATATCATAGAACTTCTTATTGCTAATGGTGTTAATATCAATACAAAAGACAAAAATGGAGAATCTGCCCTCCATTATGCAACCAAATATGGTAATAAGGATGCAACAGAACAACTTATGGTATTGTCCGCTGATATTAATGCGAAAAACAATCAAGGAAAAATTGCACTTCACTATGCAGTGGAGAACAATAATAAAGATATTGTAGAGTTTCTTGTGATGCATGACGCAGATGTCAATGCAAAAGCTAGAAATTTAGAGACAGCTCTTCATATGACAGCAAGATTTAATAATAAACAAATAGCTGAACTTCTTATTTCACACGGTGCTGATATCAATGCAAGAGCAAAAATGGAGAAACGGCTCTTCATATTGCCGCAAGATTAAACAGTAAAGAGACAGTAGAATTACTTATTTCACATGGTGCCGAAATTAATTCAAGGGATGTCGTTGGAAAAACTCCACTACATTATGCAATAGAATGTAATAAAGAAGGAACCAAAGAACTTCTTATTTCACTTGGTGCTGATACATCTGAAATAGACAAATATTGTAAGCCTAATGTTCAACCTTCACCTGAAAGTATAAAAGCAGCAAAAAAGAAAATACAAAAGCAAAAGCTTAACCAAAAGAGAAAACAAATCAGAAGGCAAATATCATTGGAGCCATATAAATATTATTAGACTAACTCAGATTATATACAGAATACATCATTTATTGTCATTGTCCAAAAGTAAACATGTTCCAATATTTAACCCCGAAGATTATGAATCAGGGAAAAAAGTTTAAAATAATATTAAAGTGTTTATTGAAGGTCTTAAACTTAATGAATTCTTCTTTTTAATAGATCAATGAGAGTAAACATTCAGTATTTCTACAGATATATGATCACACAAGGGAAGATGCTCTGATACCAAAAATATTCTTTCAAGGAGCTGAATCTTGAAGAGTTTCATGTTGTCAAACCTCAATAGTCTATCGATTCAAAATAATAATTCGATTTTGAAATTGATATAAGCTTTGAATACATGATAATCTTTTTGAGATGCAGGGTAATAATTTTCTATGCTGTCACACCTTCAACGCCGATTCGAATATTAAAATTATTGAAAGTTCTGAATTGAGTCGATGAACCACCTGATTTCTTTTATTCATCATATGCACTAATAATTCTAAAAAAAAAAAAAAAAAAAAAAAAAAAAAAAAAAAAAAAAAGGTAGTGGGGCTTCCAGGCACTTCGTGCCTTCTAGCCCCGAAGATGTTTAGTATAAATGAAGTCTTAGAGGACAAACATGACTATGAGTTTTGATATGACAAGATAGAATATGAGAGAGGTCCTATAAACCGGAGAAAGTGTTATATAAACATCTGTCATATTACTCAGAATATTATACAGAATTCAATAAAAATATATTTTAGGTGAAGAGGTGAGATTTCACCTGTTTTTTCACCTCATTTTTCACCTCTTGAATTTTCATGAATTTCATCGTAAAGACTTTGTCAAGATTTCATCGTAAAGACTTTGTCAAGATTTCATCGTAAAGACTTTGTCAAAACTTCATCGTAAAGACTTTGTCAAGATTTCATCGTAAAGACTTTGTCAAAACTTCATCGTAAAGACTTTGTCAAAACTTCATCGTAAAGACTTGTCAAGATTTCATCGTAAAGACTTTGTCAAAACTTCATCGTAAAGACTTTGTCAAAACTTCATCGTAATGAGCGTAAATCAGACAAAAATATATTTTAGGGTAGAAGGGTATATCTACCCCGTTTTCTACCCTCTTTTCTACCCCATATGTACTTACTGAAAAAGTATGTGTTCCATCTGTCATTTTACTCAGAATTTTACACCAAAAATATATTTTAGGTGAAGAGGTGAGATGTCACCCGTTTTCTCACCTGTTTTCTCACCTCTTGAATTTTCATGAAATTTACACCAAAAATATACTACTAGGGTCATTTACGAAGAAATCTCAACAAAGTCTTTACGAAGAAATCTCAACAAAGTCTTTACGATGAAATCTTGACAAAGTCTTTACGAAGAAATCTCAACAAAGTCTTTACGAAGAAATTCATGAAAATTCAAGAGGTGAGAAATGAGGTGAAAAAAGAGGTGAAATCTCACCTCTTCACCTAAAATATATTTTTGGGTCATTTACGAAGAAATCTCAACAAAGTCTTTACGAAGAAATCTCAACAAAGTCTTTACGAAGAAGTCTTAACAAAGTCTTTACGAAGAAGTCACAATAAAACATCTGTCGAAAACCGCTTTTTAACTTCACTTAAAATGCCACGTAAGCTACGTAAGAATATACGTAAGAGGAAGAGAGCATTGAAACATCCAATAGTAAAACTGACACCACAACAACAATTGCAACAACAAATGCTGAATGACCCCACTATGTTGCAACAAATGTCAAGCAATCCTATGCTTTTAAACCGAGTTGTTGGTGCACAGAGTGGAGGTTTAAGAGCGGCACTTTTAGCGAAAATGGCAGGCTATGGTGGAGCTGCAGACGGAACAGCCTATAACCCTCAAAGTCAAATGAATTTGAGTTCACTCAAAAATCAAATAACAGATGTCAAAAAGTCAAACATAGACATACAGAAGCAAATAGGTGAAAACGAAAAGAAACTAGAATATGACAGACACACAAAGAAACTCAATGAGTTAAACGTAGAGAAAAAGAAGAAAGAAGAACAACTGAAAGAACTAAGTACAGAGGAATATGCAAAAAAAGTGTCAGAAAAAGCAACAGAAGTAGCAAAAATGGAACAAGATGTCATAAATTTGAAAAACCATACTACTCAATATAAAATACTGAAAGATGAAGAGATAAAACAAAAAGCCCTGAAGACATATATGGATAGCGATGAGTATAAAAAAGAAGTTGAAGCAAATGTAAAGGCAGAAAAACTTTTACAGTTGCAAAACCAAACCGTACAGTATGAAAACTTAGCACAAGAAAGTAAAAATAACGACGCAGCCATGCAAAAGGCAATGAAAAGCGCAGAATATATAAAAGCTAACAATGACTGGTTAGATGCCCAAGCCAACGCTAAAGCAGCCCAGCTTATAGGGTCAATAAGGACAAAAATACAAGCGGATGAAGACAGTTCAAATGAAGCTTTAACAAATGCTGACTTTAAGAACGCCTTCGAAGCTCTTCATAGTAAGGTGAAACAAGTGAACGACTTCTCATCTGGAAAGAAACTGAAGTCTGAAGGTTTCGACAAAGAGTTAAAAGAAGTAGCACAAAATATGACGAAAATAACAGATGCAGCAACGAGACAGGCAGTTCAAAGTGCCTATGACGCCGTTAGAGCAACTGTTGTGAAAAGTCAAGAAAAAGAGTTACAACAGACCAAAACAGACCTAGTAAATGCTTTCTTAAGAACGAAAAGTCAGGTAGGACATTACGCTGCAGATGGAACATATGTGCCAGCTGGTGGAACTTATATACCACCAAACCCTCCAAGAGAAGCACCTGCACCAGGACTACCTAAAACATTTACATCGTCACATGGACACAGACACAGGCATGCACCAAAACCAACACAACAACAACAACAACCAACACAACAACCAACACAACAACCACCTCCACAACCAACAGTTCAAAACCCTGCACAACAACCACCTCCACAAACAGAGCAAGGACATAAAAGAAGTAGAGAACAAGGAAACCAAGAATTCTTAAAAATGCTTAAAGAAGAGTGTGGTTTCCCAGATACTGTTGACTTTAGTGACAGATATAAAGAAGCTATTGGAAAGTTCAAGGATGGAAATACTGACCCGAACCTATTTAGCTTTATGGCTCAGCACCAAAACGGATATAATCTCAAACCTGGAAAATACAAGCTCGCTAAGGGATATGATTTAATAGCATATCATCCAAATGACATGGATGAATTTACTCCGAGATATTTGATGTCAGAGCTAAATGACAATTCAACTTTCGTCATGAAACGCGTAAAAAATAGAGACGGAACGAAAGAACAAAAGCTTATGAATGCGGATGACGTAGATAGGGAAATTGTTGAAAACGGTCTCGGAATATATGAAATGCCAGCAGATGAGGTACAAGAAACTCCACAGGAAGAAGTTCAGATACAACCAGACATGGAAGAAATAGTTCAGCAACAACAGCTAGAAGAGCCTGAAGGAAACGAACAAGTCACTCCTTTGGAAACTAACTTCACAGAACTAGATGAAGATTTGGAACAGCCGAAAAATCTTGACCCTCAACAAGAGTATGCGGAGAATATGGAATATTTCCAAGAGTCTAAAAAAATTCGGCTGACATAGTAGAAGAATATCGAAAAATGTTTGCCGACATACAAAAGACTCCAACACCAGATGAAAATATTCAGCATAGAATGGAAGAACTGAAAAAAAATGTACACAAATACAACAACCCTTTTTACTTACGAGCATTTAACGTTCAATCTTCGGATGAACTCGGTGAAGATAAAAGGTTAAATTTCAAGAAAACATATAGAAATGAAACATTGTTTAAAGTTCATTCAGAACCTAACCAAGATGGAAACAAACCTACTTTTGTTTCTGCAGACGATGGAACTACAATGAGATGGGTCATAAAGCTAATCCAGATAGGTGGTTCATAAACTTACAACCACAATTCCAAGAAGTTGTAGACGCAATGGAAGTCAATGGTGAACAAGATATAGCTGGTATTTTAAGCGCGGCTTTAATGCCATTGAAAGATATGAAACATGCAGATATTTTGGACCAGTATGAAATGAACATGGCTGATGGAAATATAACACCTGACGTTCTAGAACATTTATCTCAAAGAACTACACAGAACCATAGAGATGGTATATTTGGTGAAGAGTTTAGAAAGAAAGTTAGGGAGGGAGAAGGAAGAGAACCTATTGTACATGACCTTGCAAACGAAAGTTTACAAAATGTCATAAAAACTTACTTTGCAGGCGATGAACCGAGAAGGGATGAATATTTAAGAAAACTCAAATGGACAGTACCAAATGAAATGTTAGTATTGAAAAACATGTTCCTTGACAAAATAAAACCAACTACAGAAATAAACGACGCAAGACTGAAAGATTGGGTAAAAGCTTTCCCATTCACAAAAGATATAGTTGGTAACATGGAAAGAAAACCAGAATGGCTACAAAAACATATATTTGGAAACGAGCTTATTCCATATGGACAGGCACTGTTTGAAGCGCTTGAACCGGAAACTCAGGAAAGAGTCATGCAAACAATACGCGAAGACTCAAATACAGACTATGACAAACTCTTTCTAGGATATAGGTTACCTGAGATGGGCGACCAGAGCCAAAAGGCAAAAAGGACATGGGAAATTTGCAACATACTAGATGAACATAATGCAAAGATGCAACAACTTCAAGCAGAGGGCAATGAAGGAAAAAGAAGAGTTAAAAACTCAGTCAGGAAGAAAGTAAAGCTTGGTCCACGTGGGTTCTATTATGACATATAAATCCAACTATTCTATATTTTTACTCATATGAAATGTACGCCGCTCAGAATATAACGCCAACAGTTTTGGATGCTATGAACGGAAATGTTTCCGAATGGTATAACGAATGCGACAATGCCATTAGAAGGTCAGAAATAGTTCCTGGAACTTACGAATATACAACTGCTGTTTCTTATGGAAACGTAGGTGAGTTTGGAGAAGGTTCTTCAACAACAGTAGATATTGCTTGCGACAGGTTTCATATAATTTCTATTGACAACTCTTTCTTATACGTGGAACAAGACATTGAAATAAAACCTTCTGCCAAGTTGTCTGACAAGAAAGGTTGCAATGGAATTTTCTATGTCGGATACCAATATGCTCCAGAAGTTTTCATGGGATATAAGATATATTCTAACTCTGACTTAGTTCAAACAGTAACATGGGCAAACTATGAATGGTTCGCTTTGAGAAACTCAGTACAACCACAAGCTAGAGAACAAACAGACCAGTATGCAACTATTGAGAAAATAAGAAGACTTGACCCTAACGTTCCAGGAGTTTATGTTGACCTTTCTGGACAAACTGCAGCAGCAGTAACCAAAGTAAAATTGAAACTTAGAGTTCCTTTGTCATCTTTCCTCATCTTCAGGTTTTTAAGATACTTGCCAAACTGGGCAGGAAAAATTTCTATTGAACTTACTCCAAGCAAAAATAACTTAGTCATTGCACCAACACAAGACCCATTCACTCTTACAGACGTAAAGGGAGCAAATCAAACGTCATTCGCCGAATTTTGCAAAGACAAAGTTGACTTAGACTTTGTTTCTCAAACCTCAACACTGAAGTAAACTATTATTTCAATGCTGCTGGAACTGCTTGGGACCCAGTTAAGTTCACATGCGAAAAATTTGAATGCAAGAGAATAGAAAGCAGACTTGCAGTCTATATGTTGGACCCAGATATTTCAAATGCTTTAGCTGCCAAATATATTGCAGTTCCACTTATGTTCCCTATACACCAAATATCTGTCAAAGACTTTGCAGGTGAAGTTGGAAACCAAAGTGCTGACCCAGGTGCAAGAACAGATATTGCTTTAACAACTGCAATGAAACATGCAGATACTATGTTTGTACTGTTCAGACGAACTATAAATGACTATTCTTGCTTCTACAACCCTGGTATTAAATATCATATAAACATAGATGGCAAATATTATCCAAGAGAAGAATATTCTACAGTTGAGGATATGAGGTCATACAACTTGACATTAGATGCTATGAACTTTAACAACAACTTCACAACAACCATTAACCCTGAAATGCAAAGTTCTATTATGCCATATGTGAAAGTATGGACTCATACAGGAGGTCAAAAAACTCAATAATACAAATGGAGACCGTTCAAACTTTTGGCTTGGCATTCCATTTGCTGACTCAGAAGACTTTATGGGTGGTATTTCAACTGTTGGTACAGTTCAAATACAATATACTGGTGACAGAGACGGTCCAGATGAATTGAAAGCAAAGAAGTTTACAAAACCAATAGCACTTTTCACGGAAGATGCTCTTTTGAAGATTCGTTCGATGAAACCTGCTGGGGCTCCTCAGATTGGCATAACGACAGCTTCCATCGAGCAGATTTGGCAGCAGGTCAGTAAGTTGTTCTTGAACTGACTTCTCTCCGTCAAATATTGACAGTACGCCAGTTTTGACATAATATTGTATTATAAACTTACCTTTAGAAATATCTGTAAGTTTTGTTGTTATATTTTTGTCTGCTTCAAGAACTTTCACCATTTCAGTTATACCAACTTTCTTTGCTTTATGAAAATATTTTGGTTCAGCAAAGACTGCTATTCTATAACATTTTCCATTGTTTGTGTAAAGAACTACTCTGTCAATGAACTTGTATTGTTTGTGTGTGTAAACTTTGTTTTGCTTCAATTCGAAGAGATACTCAAATACGTCCATCTTTTTATTCTAAGTAAAATGTCATTTCCTAAAAATAGAAGCGTGAGTGTTTCAAAAGGTTTAATGGCGGTGGCAGATGTGAAGTTAAATTCACCAACTCAAACAAACAGTCAAAGTGTTGTTGTCAATGTCAAAGACAGAGATGTTGAAGTGGGGAAACCATACGAAGACGAAGATGGTATAACAATAGTTCCTGTAAAAGAACAACCAACATATCCTGAAGTTAGCAGAGACTTAAGTTCTGTTGCAGATATTCGAAACGACTACCAACAACTTAAAGACAAACTTAAAACTCAGGAGAAGATTTGTCAAGCTTTGGGTATAATGTTAAACTTGGTCGAACACAACCCTGTAAAAGTGAACTCATATGTCATTGCACCTCATGAAGTTTTGAAAGAACTATTGAAACTTTTGACAGAGGCAGACGATATAAACATCAAAGAAATAGAACCCGACGTTAGTTGCTGTGGTGTTTCATATAATGTCATTGACAAGATATACGTTATGAAAGGAGGTGAAACGTTGAACTTAAATATAGTTTCCCAGACGTCATAAAAATATTTGACGACCACAACATTTCATTAAAATTTACTTGCTAAGTAAATGGCAGAAGACATAGTGGTTTATACTATTACGACTAAAAACCCTGAGTCATATAATTCTATAACAACAAACTTACAAAGTCCTCAAGGACGATATTGTAAACTGACCTTAAACACGATGACGACTAAAGCCTGTTTTGCTCTTTTGACACAGAAGACTTTGTTGTTGTGAATGGTAAAAAAATACTTCTTTGAAGATACTTACTCAGATATACCACCAACAGGTTTGTTGACTTATTTAATACTTTAAGGACGGATGTAACATGTGCTGCAACTAGAGCAGGTTTCATTATGTTTGGATGTCCGACTGAGTTTAGTATAAACGATATGAGCTATAATACAAAACTTATATCTGGTTTTTACTACCAACAGTTTCTATAACAGGAAAAGGTGTCATACAAGGTTTGTCTGTTCCATTGACTTTAAGTACACCTATTTATATATATTGTTTTCAAACTTAGGTTCAAAGTGCTATTCGAATTATCGACAGAAACTACTATGACCAAAAGATACTCATGCGTATAAACAACACTTTCTCTGCTGGTTTGCCTATTGTTCATGTCGAATGCAGAGTTTTCAGCTTTAGTAAAACTCAAACACTTTAGCAAACATAACGTTGACATTAGTCGACGCAAACTTTGTTCCTGTAAAACTTTTATGTCCTATGTATTTGTCAATGACGGCAGAAAGTTTCGAATTGGAAGATGCAACTTGGTGAAAGTATTGTACTACAAGAACAACTTCAACAACAAATGCAACAAATGGAACAAATTGCAACAACAAAGTCAAGATAAAAAATAGCTCAAGAATAAAAAATATATTTTTTTATTTTATTTTGAAATGTACGCTGAGTTTGTTGGAACAGACCGTTGGAAAACTTGTTTGTTAGATGAGAAATATGAAATTCACTGTTGTGAGTCATTTGAAGTCAGAAACAAAAAGACAAAAAAGAGTTTTAAGCGGATGGGGAGCGAAATGACGGATATGCTATGATGAGGATGGGGTGGAAAAAAACTATTTTAAACATATTGTCATTGCAAACTCATTTTATACCGAACCTAACAATCTACCTCTTGTAGACCATATAAACCATATAAGAAACGACAATAGACTTGAGAACTTGCGTTGGGTCACATGTTCTGAAAACAATAAGAACATAGGCAAATTTCGAGATATTGTATTCGAATTTGTCGACGAACTAGAAGATGAAGCAATTGAAATTACAGACTATGGCAAGCATGCGTTTGAGTTTTACTACTACAGCGAAGAACAAGACTCTTTCTACTTTTATACCGGCGTAAACTATAGGAAATTACAAGTATATTTTACTAAGACGGGCTATGCTCATGTAAACGCTAGAGATACAGATGGAAAATACGTTCGAATACTTCTTAACAAATTCAAGAAGCTATATGGCATACCATTTTAAAACGTTTTTTTTTAAAAAAATATTTTTTTATCCGATAGAAAAGATGGCAAAATTCATCTCAGTAAATAAGTACATGACAGAAGTCAAAGAAGAACTAGACCCATTCGCTTATTTGAATGTTTACTTCTACCATTTTGAAAAGTCTTCATTCAGCAAAGTTTGGAACATCGAACCAGTTAAGTTTGCTATTGTGACTAAAAATGGTGCGAAATTTGAAGACTTAGACATAGAAGGTTTGTTAGCAGTCAAAGAAAATTTTGACAGAAGGTTTTCAAACCTTAAGAAGGCAAAGCATACAAACTTGTTATACCTTATGAACCAAAGAAAGCAGACGACTATGAATATTATGAGTCTAAGATAGTTGAAGTTCAAGGTAAATTGGGTAAAAAGATTTTAGAGTCTAAACCAGTGTTTGCTCCTAAAGAGGAAGAGAACATTGACATTGACCCAGAAATGTTCTAAAAATAAAATATTTATTTTTACATGTCAAATTTCTTCTTCTCTGGCTCTGGTTCTTTCTTCTCTTTCTTCTACTTTCTTTTCTTTCTTCTCTCTCTTCTTCTTCTTTTCTGGTGGAGTTATGTCAAATTTCTCAGAACCATATTTATGTAAAAGTTCTTTGTCCTTTAATAGCTCTTCTATTCTGTTTTCTATTTCATCTTCAAGAACAGCGCATGTGCCTTCTTTGCATTCTAAGAACTTTGTTGGACTTCATCTTTCCAATCGGCGTCATCTCTGTCAACAAGTCTGTCATTGACAAATTTTAAGACTGCTCTTTGTAATTTTATGGTTCTTGTCATATTCCCAGAAACAGAACTTTAGAACAAATTCACCTTTCTTGTTTACACTATGTAAGATTTTATGGTCGACAGATGTTTTGCTGTCGAAAAGCTTGTCTCGAATATAGATAGCGAAATCGCTAGACATTTTCAAAAAGATAAAAATTTTAATTTTTCTAAAAATATGTTAGAAAAAAAGTTTGCTGACATTGACAAGAAATTTGAGAATGTTTTAAACAAGAACAAGAGGAAGTTAGAAAATGCTCAGATAAAACCCATACATGAAAGTTCTTATTTGCTCAGAATGGTATAACAGGTCTAATCGCACCACCTGGTCGGGTAAGACTTTCACTTATCTTAAAATGGCTGCAAACAACAAGAACTAGATGAGAAGAACCCATTCTATGAGTTAGTTGTTATTTGTAGTACTTCTGGTCAATTTGACCAAACCGTAAATTCGTTCAAAGATATTATAAAAAAGTCTAAGTTAGTATGTATAAAAGACTCTGAGTTGTTAGATTGGATAAAGAAGTACCAAAGAAGAGTTTTGAAGTACAATGCTATAAATGAGTATGTCAATTCAAAGTTTAAAGACCCAAATGAGGAAATGCAGAGAATATTAGAGAAGAAACACTTCAGAAACAAACAGAAAGAGATAGAATACATTTCGAAGAAATTGCAATCTTACGATTGGAAGACTTACCCTCACAGATGTCTTCTTATCTTAGATGACTTTGCTTCTCATCCTTTGTTAAAGAACAGAGAACAAGACATGTGTCGAATTCTCAAGAAGCTCAGACACTTTAACATCTCAGTTGTCATTTGTGTACAGACAGCAAAGAGTTTAAGTAAGGATGTTAAAAGAATACTTACTGATATCATACTTTTCCCTGGATTGTCCGAAGACGATTTCATGGAACTTATGAAAGAGTCCATGGCAGGTAAGTTTGACAGACATGAACTATGGGAGAAGTACAAAGTCATACAAGACCCTCATACTTCTTTCAGAATTCACATCTACGCAAACAAAGTTCAAATTGTAAAAAGTCAAGCTTGAAAATGTAAGTGTTTAGTCTTAGTCTGTTGTGGTGCTGGGGCTGTCGGTTCTTCTGGCTTTGGAAGGCATTCAGGAAGAGTTCTTCCTGTCTGATGGAAGAGTTCTTCCTGTCTGATGGAAGAGTTCTTCCTGTCTGATGGAAAAACTTTTTCTGAAGTTCGACCAAAAAGTTCTCAATTTTCGAAAATTTGAATGGTTTACGGACGAACAACAAGAAAAATTTTTCCTGTCGGATGGAAGAGTTCTTCCTGTTGTCGGGAAAAACTTTTTCTGTCGGATGCAAGAGTTCTTCCTGTTGGAAGGAAAAACTTTTTCTGTCGGATGCAAGAGTTCTTCCTGTCGGAAGGATTTGACGAGGCAATTTACCTAATTTGAGCTACCTGAGCCATCTGAAGTCAAGCTTGAAAAATAAATGGTTCATTTACTCTGCTTGTTTGAAGTTGTCAAAATACTCTGTTATTTTTTCCTTTAACAATGGCAAATCTTCTTTGAATGTAAGTATTGTACAACCTTTCATATCATAGTGTGTTTGAGGTAAAGTATCTTGAACTATCTGTTTAACATCTTCATTTGGTGTCATTGAAATCGGTAAGTTTTCGCGATAGAACCAATTTCTGTCAGATTTGTAAATCTTAGCTAAGTCGTAAAAGCTTTTGTTGTTTTTTCTGACTAAATGCAACATAACCATATCTCTGTCTTTTCATTTTCCATCTCTTCAAGTGTAAATCATATACTTATAGTTCTTTTCCTTTCCTTTTGGTACCGAACGTGGTATTCTTTTCTGTATGTTTTTGTCTTTGGATTCAATGACTTCATCTTTTGCTTGAAGTTTCTTTTTCCATCTCTTCACGTTCTTGTCTATGAAATTTCGTCAAGAAGTCTGTAAATATACCAAGCATAACGAGGCGAAGCCCACATTGCAACAGCATTTACAAGAAGTCTATGTACATACCAACCTCTTAAATTTATTGGCAAATTTTTACGATTTTCATGTGTTTTATGCAAGGCCGATAAAAGTCGGTCTAGAGAAATTTCACTGTTTTCATGAGTTTTAGGCGACCCCGAAGGAAGTCGGTCTCGCTGTGCTTCACTCAAAAGTTCTTGTGTGCTTTGGTTTTTGAACCAGTCGTCTGCGTGTTTAGTATCTGGAGCAAAACATGCTGTCAAAATACTTTGCATTTGGTACATATCGTCTTTGACCGAACGAATGAGACGGAGTTGTTTGTTAAACTGTATGTACTCGTATTCTTCATTTATAGCTTCATGGACTATAACTGTTGTTGTGTTCTCTGTTGTTGACATATCTGTCCTTACATACAAAATAAAAAAAAATAAATAAAAATAAAACTAACTTTATTTTTCTATCTTGTAATAAAAGACCAAAATAATACGCTTTACATGTATTTTTCAGCAACTTCGTCAAATAATTTTATAGCTTTACCTATCTCATCTACTTCAAACGTTTCTTTACCTTTCGTGGGAGCACCATACATTTTCTCAAACTTTTCGAGTAGTTCTGTTTCAGCAGCTCTCATATCGTTAACAAACACAACCTTAACTCTATTGACTGTACTGTCATATCTTTGAGTTATATTATATGTTCTTCCTATCTTATATCTCTTTGTATTGAAGTCCTTCGGTTTCTGAACGATGTAAAGTAAGCCTTCACTGCAACGTTCCGTATCGAATGAACCATATGTTATGAAGTTATATCCAACAACTGGGTCTAACCATAACAAAACTATTGGTATAAGACTTTTGTCTATAAGATATGCTGTAGTTCCATAGAATCTTACCGATATCATAAGCTCAGGATTTCTTGTCAAAATTTTCTGAGTAGAAGCAATTCTTAACCCAGTCGTGGGATGTTTTCTTTCCAGATGGAGATATAATGTCTGACAAAGAATATTTGTTGTATTCTTTGAGTATCTTACGTTTAAATCACCTATTCTAACCACTTTGGTCTCATTGTCTATCTTTTTAACTGTTTCAAAACTCAATGTTGTCATTTCCTGTTCTTACATACAAAATAAAAAAATATTTTATAAAAACTAACTTTATTTTTTCTGTCTTAAGGAAATTCATGAATTTCATACGGAATCCCTTCTCTCGGTTTCCGAGGGAAGCAAGCATATGCCATTTTACTCAGATTTTTGTTGCTGAATTCAATAAAAATATATTTTAGGTGAAGAGGTGAGATTTCACCTGTTTTTTCACCTAATTTTTCACCTCATGAATTTTCATGATTTCATCGTACATGTTTTGTCAAGACTTCTTCGTACATGAATTTTCATGATTTCATCGTAAATGTTTTGTCAAGACTTCTTCGTAATGAGCGTAAATGACCCAAAAATATATTTTAGGTGAAGAGGTGAGATTTCACCTCTTTTTTCACCTCTTTTTTTCACCTCAGTTATTTTATAAGCGTTTTACATGAATTGTACGATGTATATTTGAAATCCTAAACAATTTCGTAGCTTCTATTTCTTCTTTTAGTATGTCAAATGTTTTAACGATACCGAAAGTTTCTTTATACTTCTTCTTGACGTCAGATAGAAGGAAATCTTCTGCTGTTGGATAGTTTTTGTTCAGAAATGCTAACATGTCCATTTATCTTCTGCTGGTTTTTCTGCTTCTTTCTTTAAATCTGCATAGTCGTTTCGCATACGTTCTATCTCTTTGACAGAATAGTTATATTTCCTCATTGCTGCTTTACATTTAGAACATTGCGGGTTCATTTTTGCGTTATATTCTGAAACCTTACCTGCTAAAACAACTAAGGCGTCAATTGCTCTCTTCATCTCGAACATAGCGGGTTTTATTTGTTCGTTCCATACCTTACCCCTACTATCTTTATCTCTTATTTCCCAAACACATTTTGCAACTAACGAAACAAAGTTGTCGTAGGTCTTAAATTCTTCAGATTTGTATATGTCAGAGATGTTCTTATATACCATGTCGCAATCTTTGTCCATGACTTTGTGGTTGCAATGAAATCCTAGAAACTCATAGTTTACCTTTCGTATGAACTTCTTTATTTCTACTGAGTCAGTTGGTTTCACTTCTATTTCATCGAATTCAGGAATAGTGAGCTTTGCTGCTGAATTTCAGGAAGTTTAGGTAGATGGTCGATGAGGTCCTGCATTTCATAAAGATACTGTTCATTTGTTTCATCTTTTGCAGTGCAATCTAAATCTCCTTGGAGAAGTTCTTGCTTTATCTTTCTGGATTTCTGTTTCGAAAGTATATGAAGAAGGAATGAAGCTTTCATCTCTACTAACATAGATGTGGGTTCATGACTAAAGAGTTTGGTGCTGTTGTTGCTAACATGTTCTTACAATAAAAATAAAAAATATTTTTTTAAAAAAACCAACTTTATTTTTTATTTCGGGAAAATTCATGAAAATTCATGAGGTGAAAAAACAGGTGAAAAAAGAGGTGAAATCTCACCTCTTCACCTAAAATATATTTTTGCTGAAAAAAATGAGTTTTGGTTGAAAAAACAGGTGGAGCCAAAAGTGGCTCGACCTCAAAACAAGCATTTTGTGAAGAATATACCAACCGGCGGAAAACAGCGGGTTGCTTTTTATACAAAATTCAACAGGTGAAAAAACATGTACGTTCATGTTTGACAAAACATATACGAAGAAGTCTTGACAAAACATATACGAAGAAGTCTTGACAAAACATGTACGAAGAAGAAGTCATGACAAAACATTTACGAAGAAGTCATGACAAAACATTTACGATGAAATCATGACAAAACATATACGATGAAGAAGTTTCGACAAAACATTTACGATGAAATTCATGAAAATTCATGAGGTGAGAAAAGAGGTGAGAAAACGGGTGAGATGTCACCTCTTCACCTAAACATTATTTTTACTGAATTTAGCAACAAAATGAACGAGGTCAGGATGTATGTTGCTGAATTCATTCATAACACCCTTTGTAAGCTCATAAAATGTTTGTTTTGAGGTCGAGCCACTTTTGTTCTTTGTTTTTCAACCTGAAGCATTTAATATATGTAAAAATATATGGTTTTAAAATGGTATGCCATATAGCTTCTTGAATTTGTTAAGAAGTATTTGAACGTATTTTCCATCTGTATCTCTAGCGTTTACATGAGCATAGCCCGCCTTAGTAAAACATACTTGTAATTTCCTATAGTTTACGCCAGTATAAAAGTAGAAAGAGTCTTGTTCTTCGCTATAGTAGTAAAACTCAAACGTATGCTTGCCATAGTCTGTAATTTCAATTGCTTCATCTTCTAGTTCGTCGACAAATTCGAATACAATATCTCGAAATTTGCCTTTGTTCTTATTGTTTTCAGAACGAGTAACCCAACGTAAATTTTCAAGTCTATTGTCGTTTCTTATATGGTTTATGTGGTCTACAAAAGGTAGATTGTTAGGGTTCGGTATAAAATGAGTTGCAATGACAACATGTTTAAGATAGTGTTTTCCACCCATCTTCATATCAGCATATCCGTCATTTCGCTCACATTCGCTTAAAACTCTTTTTGTCTTTTTGTTTCTGACTTCAAATGACTCACAACAGTGAATTTCATATTTCTCATCTAACAAACAAGTTTTCCAACAGTCTTTTCCAACAAACTCAGCGTACATTTCAAATAAAATAAAAAAATATTTTTTTAAAAATATACTGTTTTAAAACGTTTTTACTTCATATTTCTCATCTAACAAACAAGTTGTCTGACTGCTTGAGAGTTAGGTTGGTACCATTCGAACTTGACACTTGTAATTCCTTCAATTGCGTTCAAAATGTCTGAGTCGGAGTCAAACATTTGTTCTCTCTTTGTAGTCTTGAAAGCGTCAAGAAGTTGTGCGGCTGTTGTGACATTGCCATGTGCATAGTAAATATGACCATCTAAATCTGTTACGGTTAGTCTGAGATTGTATCCTTTCTTATTTCCGTCTTGTATGGCAGCAAGTACTCCCATGAAGCCTTCTTTGTTCTTTCCTTCGTCAAAGTTTACTGTAAAGGTTCGACCAGATGTAATTTGACTTCTAACTTCACGATACTTTTCATATGCATATCTTGTTCTTTCCATGGGAGCATGACCATCCTCTGCACTACCTTTTTTCCTTCTCAAAGGATGCAACTGTTCGTTATGTTTCCAGTAGAACCTGGCAAAGCCGTCGTGTCCTTCAACCTGCGGCTCACTAACATTGAAAGGCAAGTTCATAAGACGTTCTTCTTCTAACCTCTCTAGTCTGTTTGGATAATTGGCACGTGCTGTTTCCAAATCCATTTCGTAGCGAAGACCAGACAGTTTGTCATAGACTTTTATGGGTCTTCCCTTCCTATATTTAAACTTCTTCGAAACTCTCCAACCATATCTTTGCAACTCTGCTTTTATTCTAGCAGACCTTCTATCCATTCTATATGGGGGCATTTCAAATAAAAATAAAAAAATGTTTTTCTCTTTACTTTACGTAACCACCTGCTACCATAAGCCTTTGACGCCAACCCATACCAGCTAATGAAGGTTGGCTTGGTTTAGTTTGAAAACTAACCTTTGGTTTTGGTTTATCTTCAGTTTTTGGCTCACCTTCTTCTATTGGTTTTTCGTCACTTTTCGGTTCATTTGACTTTACCTCACCTGCAGGAACAGTTGTGTCGTCAACATCTTCATAAATATCATATGCCATTTGTTTTTGTTTTCCTTTCAACTTTTTGTGTTTGTTGTAAAGTTTAGAATATTTCGACTCTAAGTCAATGAGATGTTCTATAATGAACTGTTGGTCCGTGAAGTAAACCTTCCCATCTGTTGTCTCGAAAATTCCTTCAGACTTCAATATTTTATTTGTGAGAGTCTGTTTCTTTTTTGAGATACTAGCCGTTCCATTTCTATGAAAAGTGACTTTATAGTTAGGGTTTGTATTTCCAGACCTGGCACTTTCTATTATTGAATTTTTCTCTTCATCTGTAAGTTCTTTGACAGGTTTTGACAATGGTTCTGAACTTTTTGTTTGTGGTGTCAAATCTACCGTTTCAACTTCTTCGGTCATTTCATCTCAGTAAAAAATTTTAGTTTGGTTTGTTTTCAACTGGTTGTTGTTGTTTTTTAAGTCGGTCTAAAACTTCCTGAGGTATAGGAAGAACTTGACAAACACGTTGTGTAACTGCTGGAAGCCGACAAATCCATCTTGAACCCATTTGTCTCAATGCTGTATTGTTCATTTCATCTCAGTAAAAAATTTTACATTCCCCAAGTTTGAGGTGGTTGCGGTTGGTTATTGTTTACCCACTGTTGTGCATGGTTATATCCTCTGTTAAAGAATCTTTCACCTTGGTCCATATAGTGTCCTGCTTGGTTATAGTAGTCATTTGCTTTGTTATAGTAGTTTCCTGCTTGTCTTCCTACATTGTCCATCCATCCTTGAACTTTTCCTCTTGTTTCAGGATTTGGAATAAGATTTGCTGCATCTCGTGCTACATCCCAACCTTTCTGTACAGTTTGTATAATAGGTTGTGCTTTCTCTTTAAGTATACCTAATGTACTCAAAATCTTCCTTCCAACTCCAAATACACCTCTGGCTATTGTTCCCACTGCGGGCAAAAATCTGGATGCAACTCCTGCTAATGCGCCAAATAAACCCATTTCTTATAGGGTAAAAAATGACGAATCCAAACAAGGACCCCTATGTTTCTAAAGCGACAAAGAAAGCACTCATGGTAAAAATCTTTAGTTCAACACCAAATGCTTGGTTTATGGATATCTTGGAAAACATTCCGAGGTATAGAGAAGATGGACCACCATACTGGCTAATATTTGTTGGTCAAAACACAAGATACTGTGAAGCCATACCATTATGGTCCAAAAATATTTTAGATGTGAAAACTGCTTTGACAATATTCGTTGACAAATACCATCCAACAAAACTGACATCTGACTGTGAAAGTTCTTTCAAATCAGACGATATTAAAAACTATCTGCGTTCAAAAAATGTAAACCAATATTTCATTGTCGACCAAAACCATTCTGCTCTTGGTGTCATTGACAGTTGTATAAAAATCTTAAGAGACTTAAACCAACCACAAGGTGGTGAGGTAGATGAAATGTCATATGACGACAAATATAGACACTTCTCCATGGCAAAGATGAGACAAGTTTTAAATATTTACAATAGCCGTAAACAAAAAGGTTTGGGAAACCACTCCCCCGAAGAAATGAAAAACAACCCTGACTTAGAGAAAGACTATATATTTAATAGTTTAGTCAAAAGAGACAAACAAGAAAGAATGCCAGGCTTCAAACTTAAGAAAGGTGACAAAGTAAAAATAGAAATACCTAAACGCGACCCATATGAAAATACTATTGACTATGACAACAATGGGAACTCGACAGGTACTCGCATTCGTGTTCGTAAAAATAGAAGAAAGTATACAAGAGAATATTATGAAGTTTTAGGCAAACATGGCAAAATGTACAGACTGCAAGCAGAAGATAAAACTACTATTGTCAGACCTCGTTTCAAACTTGTCAAAGTTCAAGGTGGTATACTTTCAAAGACAGTTCCTAACAAATATAAGACAACTCCTGACGAATATGCTAAAGAAGTGGAACATGACGACTAAGCAATTCTATACCATGCGTAAACTGTCATGTAAGGTGGCATGTAGTCTTTACTTTGTCCCGTTGTTTGCGTATATCCTGAAACGCGATGTGTATGGTCTCCTTCTCCCCAAGTGTCATCCCAGTAACAATTTATAGCAAACTTAACGTCGTCTTTAACATCATATCCTTTACCTTTTGTCATTCCTGTCCAATCCCAATATCTATGCTTATGCCAACCTTCTCGAGATGTAGTTAAACTTACGTAGTGACTATGCGCAGGTAGGTTTTCACCTGAAATCGTTTTACTTCCACCTGTTTCCTTTGAAGAGTTTGCACAATACAAAAACCTGTCGACTATTTGTTCCCATGCACCAACACCAAACATTGCTTGAGGACCTCTTGCTTCCATAGATGTATAAATAGAACCTACTGGGTTCATTAAATCAAACATATGAGATATTATAGGATTGTCTCTTTTGAACTTAAAATATAGTGCAACTATTTCAGGTTTCTTCTGGTTTGTGTCAGAATATTTTTTAAAATATAATCTTATGTTTTCAGGGTAGGTAAAGTCTTGACTATAATATTTATTTCTGTCATCTGTATAATAGTATACTATTCTCGTTTTTTCTATTGCATTATATCTTTTATATCTATAATAATCTAAATATAATGTTTGCTTTTTTGGGTCTACACGTGCGTCAACACCATAGTCATAATAATATGGTGCTGGAGCTACGTTAGACAATGTCATATCCGTCATTTCATAAACTCTTAAATATTTCTTTTGTTCGTCTCCATAGAAGTTTAAGTAGCAGTTGTTGTCTAATGGAACTTTAACTTGTGTACCATCGTTCTTTATATAGCTTACATACATTTCATTGTTATTTTTCGGAATGAGTTTACACCGTATACCATTTCTTAAGGACTGTACAAACTCCCATCTAAAATATTTGTTTTCTTCATAGATAGAAAAGTCACCAACAATAGTTTCAATATTTTTTGTTGTTCCAACTAAACTTTGGTATATTTCATTGACATATGTTTTATCTGCTTTTGTCTCTAATGTTTCTTGTAAGTTTGCAATATTTGCAATGGTATGTGTATGTCCAACGGCACTTTTCCTGTTTAAGGTTTCTTGTAAGTTTGTAATATTTGCAATGGTATGTGTATGTCCAACGTCACTTTTCCTGTTTAAGGTTTCTTGTAAGTTTGTAATATTTGCAATGGTATGTGTATGTCCAACGTCACTTTTCCTGTTTAAGGTTTCTTGTAAGTTTGTAATATTTGCAATGGTATGTGTATGAGTCTTTTTAGAATATTCTTTGTCAGCTCTTGTCACTTCACTTGACATTTTATTGTCAACATATGTTTTGTCCGCTAGTTCAGGATGAGTATGTTCTTTTGTTGCATATGTTGCATCTGCTCTGTCATGTTCTTCTTGAACTTTTTCAATGACATACTCTTTGTCAGCTTTGTTGTCAACATCTGCTTTCGTTGCATATGTTGCATCTGCTCTGTCATGTTCTTCTTGAACTTTTTCAATGACATACTCTTTGTCAGCTTTGTTGCCAACATCTGCTTTCAAAAGAAGTTCATCTATAGGTTTCTCGTTTAAAGTTCTTTTTGTTGGATTTATACAAACAGTATGGTTCTTACTGTCTTGAAACAGAAACTCATCTGTCATTGGGTTTATCGTCAGTTTTAAGTTTCCTTCTTTCAATGACTCAGATATCTTAGAATAGTTTGAAAAGTTTGTTGTGTTCTTATTTAGAGCTTGCAAAATGAGTTGTCGGTTGTGTTGTATTTCTCTCATAGACGCTGTTTCTTTCGACATTTTTATTCTAGATAAAATATGCTTTCAATAGAAAAAGAAAATTCAAGAGTTGCTACAACTAAACCATTAGATGAACTTTTTACGAATGTCGGTCAAAAGTTTGAGACAGAGACCGTAAAGCATGAAGGCTATCGTTTTGACTACCCACTAAGATGGTTAAGAGACCCATCTGTCACAAAAGCTATTGGCTTTCGTAGAATGAAGTTCATTTCAGAAGCCATACATGGTTTCCCATTTACGGTCGCTTTTGAAATTCGATACTATAACAAAGAAAAACATACGTATGAGAAATTTGAACAGGGAAAACTTTTACAAGTGAATTTGCTTGTAAACTTAGAAACAACTCTTCAAGCTTTTCAAGAAAAAATAAACGATATCTATCTCGAATATGCAAAACAGTACAACATTGACGAAGGAGAGTACCATCTCGATATTGTTTATGACAGGAAAAATGCAACTGTTAAAATCAATAGAATAGAAGACCTTGGAGAAGACGTTTATATTTCTACAAAATATAACAACTTGGCATGGTATAGATTTTTGAGGATGTTAAATCAGCCTGCAGAATATCCAGTACACCCGGACTTTTATGAAGTCGAAAACCCTAATGGAACATATGAAAATGTTTTCGACTCAGATGCTATTATAGTTCATGCTTCATTTTCTGGTGCACAAAACTCTTTTTTATGCTTGGCAAATGACTTTTACGAAAAACCTACAAAGCTATACGAACCACCAAGTGGAAGTATTTCAGACTTTCAAGTATGGTTTACTACAGATGGAAGAAAGAGAATAATTCCATTATACCACGCGTTTTACTTAGAACTTAGTTTCATATACAACTACTATCGAACGGTAAAAATATGATTTTTTAATACGGTTGAGGTGTTGGATTTGGTTGCCAACTAGACTGTGGTGCAGGTTCAGGCTGTTGTATAACAGGAGCTTGCTCTTCTGGTTCAGGGTCTTTAGGTATAATACCAACGAACTGACCTACTCTTTTACCAATATTTTTGACACCGTTCCAAATTCCTCTTCCGACAGATTTTATTCCATTCCATATACCTCTTCCAACATTTCGAAAGAAGTTTCCTATTCTTCCAAAGAAACCCATTTTACTATATGTAAAAATCTAATGTCCGCCTAGTCTTTTGCGTTTCCTGTTGAGTTCCATAGCATTCTTTAACTGGAGCTCATACATTCTGTTTCTCCTCTGGTAGAAAACATATTCTGGGTCAACTCCTGTGTTCGCGTCATCTGCATAAAGTTGTTTATATCCCACTTCAGGGTTTGTATAAAACTCTTTCCATCTCATATTTGCATACCATGGTGGCAAACCTAACGCAGCGTCATTTGACATGGCAGTTTGCATTTGTACATCTGTTGGCACTTGACCATAGTTTGCCATTGCAGTTTGTATTCTAACTTCATTTGGAATATTCTCTGGGTTTGGTTGTCCAGGTTGCTGTGCATTCGCTAAGTTCTGTGCGTCCATTTAATATTAGATAAAAATATCTCTTACGAGTACATATACTGGACATTTGCAGGCATTGGTTCATCTTCATATTCTCTATATCTTTCTGCCACGTCAAATAAGTAAATGACACAATGGAAAAAACCTAAAACAAGTAGTCCTATTTCAAACCACATTTACTTACCAATAAAATTTCTTTGTTATGACACTTTTTCCGGTTTATAGGACCTCTCTCATATTCTATCTTGTCGTATCTAAACTCATAGTCATGTATGTCCTCTAACCATCTCATGACACTTTCCAAACCACTTTTATCGGATGTAAAGTAAAAGCATGGATGGTTATGTAAAACGTCTAAAGTTTCTAAAGAGTCTCTCAAAGTCCAGTCTACTTGGTATTGAAAATCGTATGTGTTATAGAACGGCGGGTCCACTATAAAGAAAACATTTTCCTTGTTTTTATATTTTTCATACAACTCTGTCCAATGACATCTCACAAACTCTATACCCTCAGTATATTTTTCTATGTTCTCTTTGAAAACATTTGTATAGTTAAGATATAAAACGTTTGACATAAGTGTTTCAATGTCATGAACTCTTATAGAACCACTATACAATAGTCTAGAAGATATACTATCCCAGTCAATATACTCTGCTTTTTTCAAAACCTCTCTCACAATATTTTTCTTATCTAATGGTATACGTTCCATCTTACCTATAGGTATCTTTTCTTTTAACTCTTTCAATATTTTGTTTGTGTCTGGTATATGTTTGAGACGGTTCATATAGTTGTCGAAGTCATTGCATATAATCTTTGAGTCAGGAAATATTGTATGGCACAAATGAGATATATAGAAACTTCCACCGAACAAATCTACAAATGTTAGACCATTCGGTAGTTTCTTAAGTTCTCTCAATATAATATCTTTACATCTACTCTTATTTCCAAAGAACGGTAACGGTGGTTTTGTAAAATTCATTTTATATATATAATAAAAATGTTTTTTCCCTGAAAAGTGACAGAAAAGTGACAAAACATGAAAACATATATATTTTGTGAAAAGCTCCTGGAAGACCCGTATATAAGAACTTCAGATGGAACACATACTTTTTCAGTAAGGACATATGAGGTGAGATGTCACCTGTTTTCTCACCTCATTTCTCACCCGTTGAATTTTCATGAATTTCTTCGTAAAGACTTTGTTAAGACTTCTTCGTAAAGACTTTGTTGAGATTTCTTCGTAAAGACTTTGTTGAGATTTCTTCGTAAATGACCCAAAAATATATTTTAGGTGAAGAGGTGAGATTTCACCTCTTTTTTCACCTCATTTCTCACCTCTTGAATTTTCATGAATTTCTTCGTAAAGACTTTGTTAAGACTTCTTCATCTAATTTCTCATGAACTTTCTTGTCTATGTTTTGTCAAGATTTCATCGTAAAGACTTTGTTGAGATTTCTTCGTAAATGACCCTAGTAGTATATTTTTGGTGTAAATTTCATGAAAATTCAAGAGGTGAGAAAACAGGTGAGAAAACGGGTGACATCTCACCTCTTCACCTAAAATATATTTTTGGTGTAAAATTCTGAGTAAAATGACAGATGGAACACATACTTTTTCAGTAAGTACATATGGGGTAGAAAAGAGGGTAGAAAACGGGGTAGATATACCCTTCTACCCTAAAATATATTTTTGTCTGATTTACGCTCATTACGATGAAATCTTGACAAAGTCTTTACGATGAAATCTTGACAAAGTCTTTACGATGAAATCTTGACAAAGTCTTTACGATGAAATTCATGAAAATTCAAGAGGTGAAAAATGAGGTGAAAAAACAGGTGAAATCTCACCTCTTCACCTAAAATATATTTTTATTGAATTCTGTATAATATTCTGAGTAATATGACAGATGTTTATATAACACTTTCTCCGGTTTATAGGACCTCTCTCATATTCTATCTTGTCATATCAAAACTCATAGTCATGTTTGTCCTCTAAGACTTCATTTATACTAAACATCTTCGGGGCTAGAAGGCACGAAGTGCCTGGAAGCCCCACTACCTTTTTTTTTTTTTTTTTTTTTTTTTTTTTTTATTCTGATTTAAAGATCTAAAATATAAAAGGATCTTGGAAAATCCGTTATTTTTGCTGGAATGACATCGCTCTTTGATTACGCAGCAAAGGATGATGTTTTTAACCTCAAAAAGCTTATTAACTCAGGTGCTGACATCAACCGAACAAATGAAAACAACGAAACAGCGTTACATTTCGCAGTAGTCAAAGGAAATGTCAAAGCAACAAGACTGTTAATTTCATGCGGAGCAGATCTTAACATTCAGACAGCTGTATTCGGCGAAACCCCATTACATTTGGCTGTTCAACAGAATAATCGTGAATTAATCAATTTATTATTAGACGCTGGCGCTGATCCGAACGTTAAGAATTGCGATGACGAAGGACCAATCTTTACAGCTATTCGTTGGGGAAACCCAGATATAATATCACTTCTTGCAGATAGAGGTTGTATTCTTAACGACGTCAACAAGTTTGGACAGACACCATATGGTGTAGCAACTCATTTCCAAAGTCGCAAATCTACAAGCGCTCTTGTTAGCTGCGGTGTAACTCCACAGATTTCAGGAGTTCCAAGTATTCTTTCACTCGATAAGATGAACAAGCCACTTGTTGGTGGATCTGAAAAGAAGAAAGTTTTCGGATTCCGCCAATCACCGCCAGGAATTTCAGATCTCTTCGAAGTCGTTTCTACAAATCAAGTCCAAGTTTTACAAGATCAGCTTAAGAAAGGTATCAAAATCAACGAAGTTGCTAACTTCAACAAAGAAACTCTATTACATTCTGCTGTTTTATATGGTTCTACAGACTGTGTTGAAGTTTTGATTCAAAATGGCGCACTCGTTAACGAGAAAACAGAGTTTGGTTTGGAATCCCCACTACAAATTGCCATTCGCGAAGGCTTTTTCGATATATTCTTCCTCTTAATTCGTAATGGTGCAGATATCGAGTCAGAAAACTGCGATGGCGAAACTCCAATCTTCCAAGCAGTTAAAGCTAACAGAATAGAAATGTTTAGAGTCCTTGTTCGTCGTGGAGCAGACGTTAACCATCAAAATGTCAGTGGATTTACTCCAATTAACTTTGCCGTTCTTGCATCCAACAAGTTCATGGTCGAAGCATTATTATTCTACGGAGCCACATTCCCACAAGGCCAATTCAACCCTTACATGTTCGCATTTAAAGCTGGAGATGACGAAATCGCGAACATCATACAATGCGAGAGTCCAAACCTTGCAGAAGAGACACGTTTACCACCAAACTTGTTCCAGATCATCAAAGCAAACAACATGGATGAACTTCAAGCTCTAATTACAAAAGGTTTCCGTCTTGACCTTGTTGATAGCCTTGAAGGTTCTCCATTGCATTGCGCTTGCAGAGCAGATGCTATTGATTGCGTTAAATTGTTGATTGAAAGTGGAGCCGATGTAAATATCATTGATATTCAGAATCGCGAAACTCCATTTATGACAGCGATCAATTCTCAATCAGAACAAAGCATCAGAGAGCTTTTGCAGAATGCAGATGCCGATCTCGTCAATGTCAGGAACAAAGAAGGTGAAACATCATTGTTCTACGCGGTCAGAAAGAACAATTACAACCTTGTTATGGATTTAGTAACAAAAGGTGCCGAAATCAACACTTATAACAATAATGGTGTTACTCCTCTTTACGTTGCAACAGGCCTTAAATACACAGACATCGCGAGGTATCTTATGGACAATGGAGCAGACATTACATGCGAAATCCATCAGTCCATCAAACTCGCACAAGATATGAATGAAAGAGAACTTGTTGATGTTTTGTCATCTAAACCAGTTACTCGAGATAATTCTAGAACAGCTCGTTCTGATCTTCGAAAGTCAAGACTTGGCTCTAGATGCACAACAGCGTCAACACAAGGAAGACAGAGTTCTTTGACAATGAGATCAGGAAATACAACATTGAATAATAGTAGTACATTAGCTAATGCTCTTGCAAATACATATGGAACAATAACTCTTGGAAGAGATGAAGAAAAAACATTCCAACTTCCTGAGAATTTCCAGGAAGGTTTGTGCGTTGTTTGCCAGAGAAACAAAGCTACTCAGAAGCTTATTCCTTGCAACCATGTTTGTACTTGCCATGGATGCATCAAACAGTTCATCGAGATGCAGATTCCTTGTCCGTTCTGTGGCCTGAAATTCTATGCTACAAAGCCAGCGGGAGAGTAATAAAAATAAACATTTCTTTTTTTATCTTTTTCTATGCAAAACAGCTCCATCTTTTATATCATAACGCGACACATTAAACAATGTGATCATATAACATCTACACTCTTCAGATAAAGAGGACTTTATGCATCAGTAAAACCTGAAATTGATAACTATGGAAAAATTTGGAAGGAAGTCATCTGCTAAAGATGACGATCCATGGAAAAGTTACTTCAAAACTCAATTCACAAGTGCGAAAACCATGTTATGCCAAAGCTGTAATATATAATCAGCACAAAATCAATATTATTTAGAAGAATGGAATTTCATTGATTAATCCTATTTCCAATTCTTTATTCCTATACAATAGCTGTTCTTTCAGTAACTGCACTTCATCGGAAAGAGGAAGCTGCATTAACTTTACAAGAACAGATAGCTCTTCTTTCCACCGGTAATTGCCAAGCAGAATTTTTATTTATCGATAAAAATATTGACACGTTTAATAGACTTTGCTCTCTTTTAAATCTAGTAAACATTAATTACATAACTAGTTAAAACCAACATAATACCATCAATATTGCTACGGTTCTTATGAAAATATCTAACTCTTTTTAATTAAATGAAATGAATTTGTTTAAATTCATGAGAAATATCAATCAAATTTAATAATGCTCAGTAAATCTACTTAGAAGAACGATTTACATAATCTTTCATGGCCTGTGCCATAAGATCTTGTGCTTCTCCAGCAACAACAAAAGCAGTTCCCTTAGTATAGCTTAAAATTTCTGACATCTTTGAAACGTAAATCTGCTTAACATGTTCCATGAAGTTTGCTGCATTATCTTCAATCATTGTTCCGATATTTACGAGCATTTCAATGTTATCCTTTGCTGTCAGAGTTTTAATTTTACTATCTGCGCAGCCACCAGAAAGAACAACCGGCTTGGATTTTGGAACATCAACCTTGACTTCTAAGAGAATTGATGAAACCATCTCATAATCATACTGTCCCGAAGATTTTTCTGTAATTGTGAAAATATCTGAGCAGTTTATACTTCCCAAGAATCCTTCGGTCGAGTCTGTATCTTTGCGTACGAAAACACCTAAACCGAATGAGATGTCATCAAGATCCCAGCAATACACAGAAATTGTACCGTATCTGAAGAATAGGTTTAGATAGGATCCGAATGCCTTGTTTGCAAGCTCTTCAAGCTTACGGAGTTTCGGCGATATCTGCTGTCCATCTGGTAATGGCGGATAATACTTGTGAGTGAACGGCGATCTATATGAATCACCATCTCTATTGTAATCACATTTGATGAAACCTTGTTGCGTATCCTTATCAGTCTCGACTTTTAAGGGAATATCAACTGCCGAAATCATTTCTTCTGTTAAGTCAGGCTTAAGTTGAAACAAATCAAACATACGATCTTCGATATCCTTTGGAGGAACATGGCGAAGGAGATCAAGGCCTGCTGTGACTGGTGAATCGTATGCCATTGAATTCTTTTGAAAAAAATAATTAACATCACTTTTTGTGTATTTAAAATGTAACTGATTATTAACCGTGAGAAATTAGTTATATATCAATCAGATCCAATCAATATGATAAATGAAATAACCAAAATAACGAAAAATATATTTATGAAATGTGATTTGAGGAGGATAAGAAATGAATCGATGTATTGTCCACACCACTATTGTTTAGCTATCTTAATGCATGCTAATGATTGAGTAATTACATTCTAACTTCATCCCGAAAAATTTAATTCTTAATTTCAGAATTTTGGCATATTATTTGAATCATAAAAATGCTTGTTCAAGTAGTGAAGCTATATGCAATAGTTTAATTTACATATATCTTTTTCAATACGCATTTTGATTCATATTGCACTGAAATCTCAAAATTTAGAAATTATAATTAGAAAGTTCTAATATTTTAAGGAAATGTTATTATGTAATGGAAAATTGGTTATCTATGAACGATATCAAAGATATTCATATAAAAATTAGAAATTAAAACTATCTGAATGATATAAATCATTACAACTAATCACATGTAAATCATTCATATTAAATGTTTTGTTCAATACTATTGGTTTTGTAATTTTTGATGAATTTCAAAAATCAAATGATAAAATTAACAGTAAAAATGAATTTTTGTGTTGTATTTAAGGCATTAAATCTGATTATATGTGATTTTATCGTATACAAAAATTGCTAAATAAAATAATTGAGAAATTCAATTACCAGGCTTCCTTCTGAGGTGTCTTTCCGCCTGTATCATCGAGTCCTTCCATATCAAGATCACCTTCATCCAATCCTTCGGCTTCAAGGGCTGCTAATTCGTCTTCAAGTTCTCCTTCATCGATATCGTTGCCAATGCCCTGAGATAATATATCGGAAATTTCGTTGGACTCGGCCATCATATCTTCCATGTCCATAGCCATGTCATCAACATCTTCAACTGTAAATTGTTTCATTGTTTGCTTCATTGTTGCGTTAGTTTCCTTCATTGCATTAACAGTCTCGATGTTGACTTTCATTTGTTGCTGCTGGAAAGCCATGTTGTCAATATTAAATCTTTGTCCATCAATTTTGCCCTGGAAGCCTTCGAGCATTTTACGGCGCTTAAGCAATTCGGTGGCCTTCCTTCTGAGAGTTGGAACACGAGACTTATTGGACGGCATTTTCATTTGTTTAGTAAGTTCACTTAATTTTCTATTGATCTCAGCAATTTCCTTATCAATGCTTTCGCTCTTTCTTCCTAACTGGTCGGATGTGTCTTCGAGACTGACCTGTGGCTGCTGTGGAACGTCTTTCTTCTTTCCGAATAAGCGCTTCATAAAAAATGACAGAAAAAAAGTTCCGATGAAAAATCGTAATGGTTGCAATTGTTGTATTTGCTTTTGACTATGCATAAACAATATATTTTTCGTAAGAAAATGAAAAACATCGATGTTTTCACCGGAAAATTGCATGAAAATTTCAGGGGTCTGTATTCCTATAGCGAAGCTTTCTAAGCCTTTATATTTGATTCGAGTGATTAATTTTATATTTTCTTGAATATTTGAAAGACTTACATTTAAAACCAGCACATAAACTTGTGCCTTACCTTCAATAATTATCTTATGGTTATGTAACTCATTTGATAATGATATGTAATACCGAATAGCATATGATGAGATTGAATCGAAATTTCTAATACAGCCCAGCATAAATAGTAAAGAAAAGTGCTAACGTTGGAAGTATCAACCGTTTCGAATGATTTCAAACGAATTCTGATAAGTAGTCTCAATTTTAAATATCAAAATGAAATCTAATAATTCGGATTAATTTTTGAGAAATTTTGGAGTTGCATTCACTTCTCCAAAATCAACACTATACAGTTATCAATATGTGGCCACCCCCTCTTGTGATTAAGTTATCATATCCAAAGATATTTTTTTATATGGAATATTTATTTGATCTAAAGCTTAACGAAGTAAGTAGACAAATTGCATAATTTGTACAGCTCTCATGCATTTCTCATTTGTTGAATTTTGAAAATTAGGATAATTTTTTTTTTCGCAACTATAAAAAGATTAAAAACATTTATTTGTAAAACAATAAAAATCTTAATACTAGTTAAAACCGATATTCAGGAAATCCACATCATCAGGAATTGGCGAATTATTATCAATCTTTTCTTCTCCATTATAAACAATGATATTTGAAGGTACGTCAGAAAATCTTCCTTTGATAAAATCACGGATTTCCTTTGCTAGTGATCCTTTCGGACAATGAAATTGAAGAATACGACCCATATATTCAATATCGTAGAAACTGTACTCTTTATCGAGAGACACGAGTATTCTATCTGAATAAATTTCATATATCATTGTTTTATCCGTTGGATCATTTAATAATTTATGAGAAAGTTTGTTGTAAAAATAAAACTTGTTTCCTGTAATTCCATTCTTTTTAAGTTCATTAATTACGCTAGAAAACTTAGTTGTAGGCGTCAAAATTAGGAAAACTTCAATTGGCTTATCTGCTTGTAAAATAACAAAAGTAATTAAAATAGACTGAATAACATAATTTAAAATCAGCCTTTCACCGAGTTTAACGTCAACTGGCTGATTTAGATCAATAATATTTTTATCATCTTTAAAATATGTTTCAATGTAACCATCAGTGTAATAAGTATATGGTATTATGTCTTTGTATAATGGATTACCCTTGAATTTCAATGTAGTTGTTTCTTCAACGAGATTATTTAGCTTTCCTTTCGAAATTACAAATAATTTCTTCAGGACTTCAATTGTAGTTTTAGAATACTTGAATTTCACCTCAACAACGCTATTTATCTTATCTTTTATGACATCTTTTATCAATTGATGGTTTTCAATGGCGTAATTATTGTATCTGAATATTATATTGTCAATCCTTTTATCTTTTATCATCTGAAGATCGGTCATTTTAATGATATCACCGAATGTGCAGTTACAATCTATATATTCTATGTATTTTCTATCAATTTTGGTATCATGAAACTTAATTCTGTAGCATGAAATATCAGACTTGAAATACAACGTTGAAGTTTTTGTTGCTTCCCATGAAGGATCTAATTCTTTTGTTAATTCTTCATTTTCATAATAGAAGATTTCAGAATGTGCTAAAAATTTAATATTTTCCCTGATTAAGCTGCTTATTGCTGCGAGTTTAGATCTATAAATAACTGCAGCTGAGTATTTTAAAAATGAAATTGCGGGAACTCCTTCCCATTTTAAAGTAATATTTACCCAGTGCCCATGTTGTTTAGGGATAAAACTTGATTCCATACTATTAGGTTTTGCAATAGCCATTTATTTAAACTAAAAAATTAAATTAATTTATTTTGCCATCATTTTCGCCAAAAAATTGTGAGAAAATGTCAAAATTATACATTTTTTGACAACATAAACTTTCTTTTTTTGTAAACGTGTCAATGAATCTCAGCCAAGAATATAATATCGAATTCGGCGTTCCAAGTTGGGTGAGAATATCACCATGCCAAAAATATATTGCTTGTGGTACATCAACTGGATATCTATACATAATTTCAATAGAAGAAAAGAAAATTTTGAAATTTGCTTTAATTCACACAAAGGGAATAAATGACGGAGTTTGGTCATCTGACAGTAAATTCATAGTTACTGCGAGTGATGATAAGATGGCTTGCATTACAGAAACACAAGAACTAACCGTTATTAGAAAATTGATTGGACATAGATCAAAAATATTCTGTGTAGCTATATCTCCAGATAATTCTAGAATTGCTACTGGCAGCAAAGATACAGCATTTTGTATCTGGGATCCAAGAAATTCAAATTCTCTTTCAGAGATTGGCGGACATACTGAACCAATTTCATCCATATCATTCAATTACGATGGTACATTAATTTTAACATCGTCATTTGACGGAATTGTTCGTGTTTGGGACAGTATTTCATTAATATGTCTTAGAACATATATAATGGAAGGCCATCCTATAACTAGATCTCTTTTCGCTCCGAATAGCCAGTTCGTTACAGCATTCTCAACAGATAATTTAGGACAATTAATAGAGATAAAGACAGGAAAAGTTTTTAGGAATTTCAGAGGCCATGTTAATAGCAAGTATATGGTAGATGCAGGCTACATCCATAGAAATGACAATTCAGACGGAGAATTATGGGTTTCATCAGAAGACCAGAAAATTCATGCATGGAACGTTCAAAGCGGTGAAGAAATCTGGCAGTTAGATATCGGTTTTGACCTTGCGGTGGCCAATTCGACTCCAGATGGCTCATTATTCTGCGTTGGCGGAAATATTCCTGGAATTGTAAGATTATATACTCCAAAATGATTTTTATATAGTGTTGTGAATAAATATAAAGTTTACGAAAACATTATAAATAATTTTTTAATTTTGTCTAACAAATCCAATTCATGCTAGTACATCTTTTATTTTTACCACATATGATTAACTTGCAGTTGAAAAACTTCATAAAACTTCACAATAATGACTTATAAGGAAATATTATTTTTCTTCTAGCTATAAACTATAAGTTTCATCACAAATAAAGGTAAACTCATGAGGCATGATCTGTGTAGCAGCCAACATCCATCAAAAAGAAAGAAAAAATTAGAAAATAGAAAATTAAAGGCAAAAAAGTAAAATTTATATAAACATGTAACATAAAATAACATTTATAAGGATAATATAAGTGTTAGGCAAACAGGAATCGATAGCATTCGACTGATTTTTGTTTGAAAGATAGGAATTTGATTTTAAACAATATAAAGTATACGTATAATTTTCGAAGCAAGGTGAAGCTAAAACTTGAGAAAACAATTACTAAAAAAGAAAATTATTATAGTAGTATATGAGTGCGGGTTGTGTGACTTTTTTTGTTGCATCTATATATAGACGATGCATTAAAATATATTTATTTATAAATCATTAAAAAATTAACATTAATTTTAAAATAATTTATTTTTTATCTTTTATAAAAGAAACTATATATAGATGATGTCAGATATTCCGCGATTAATTAAACATTGTTTAAATCCTGAATGGGTTAAACTTCAATTTAAAAATGAAGATTGTGAATTATTAAATGAATATGAAAGCCAAAATAAGCTAATGAGGTATAAATATAATGATAAAGAATATTTAATTTCATGGAATCAATGGAGTCATAATCAAAGACCTCATAAACGAGAAGAAGAAATTGAAAATAATGAAATGGAAATCATTGATGACATTAAAGAGGATGGAATTCCTAAATTTTGTAGAAAAACCTTTAGAACTAAGTTAGGAGCATATAAACGTAGAGTATTAAATCCTGAATATCTTAAACATCAATTTAAAAACATAAGAGAAATAGGAGAGGATACGTATCAAGTGATGCTTAAAGATAGATTTTATAGATGTGATACATGTTTACAAGAGGCATTCTTCACTTTAGATAACGCAAAATACTGGTATTTGGTTTTCATTTATGATTTTATGTATAAATGCATGGATGTTAATCGTTTTCATTTCATTGAAGGTGATACTGATTCATCTTATTGGGCAATCGCTGGCGACCCAAATCTTCCTAACACTCAAGCATTTCAAGCAATTGTAACCGATAAAAAATTTTATGATAAAAACATTTACAAATTCGCACCTTTTGATTTCTTCTGTTTTAATGAGAAATTTAAACCTAAATTAAAGAATAAAGCTGAAGAAAAAGCACATGAGAAGAAGTTATTGGGTTTAGCAATTGAGAAACAAGGTGATAACATGGTTGCTTTATGTCCTAAGTGTTATACTTCATTCAACGGTTCAATTGATGGAAGTGATTTTAAAAAGATTGCACAAAAAATGAAAGGAGTTAGTTTACGACAAAATAAACAATTAACACCTAAAAATTATTTGGATATAATAAATGATAAAGTGATATTTGATGGTCAGAATATTAATTTACAACTTAAAAACGGGTCAATGACTCGCTTAACAATCGGTAAGACTGCATTAACAGGAGCACACACTAAGGCTGTATGTTGTGAAAATGGATGTTGTATGCCATTTATTTAATAAAATGCCACAGAAGAGACAAAAGGAACCGTAAATAATGGTTTTGATACTATGATTCAAAGAGGCGGGCACCCTTAAAACACTTATTTTATTTTTATATAAATGAATAGCGTAGATTTAAAAAATTTAATTGATGATTTAGTACTTAATCAAAATTTTCTTAATTATTATGAATTAAAATCATATCTCCAAAAACATGATAACAATATAACGGGTGATGATATGGATTATTATTATTCGTATTATAAAAATGAAGTTTTGAAATATCATGATAAAATAATTTCTAAAATTAAAGACAAAATTAAAAATAATGAATATTCAAAGGGAAAAAGTAAATCACAACTTAAACAATTGAAAGATTTCAAAAATAAAGTATTAACAGAAGAAGATATTGATGAATTATATAAATTATATAAATTATATAATCCTGAGCCGCAAAAACCAAAGGAACAAAAACAAAAGGTGCAAAACGCCCAGGTCCTTCAGACCATAAATGAAGCACAAGCTTTAATTTATGATTCATTAGTTAAACCATATTCAGCCCGACTTTTAAATGAAGATCAACTTTTGGAATTCATCCTTCAACATAAACTCGAAGCGGGAAAGTATATCAAACCTTTATATACAGCATATTTAAAACAAATGAATAGAATACATCCAGAATTAATGAAGGGGGGAATGAAATCCAAAATCAAAGCAGATAAAATTAAACCACCTGCAACACCAAACCCTCCAACGACAGTACCTCCTCCTCCTTCAGTTAATCCTTCATCATTCACTTTATTATATCCATTTCAAACATTAAAGAAGCAAAAAGATTTTAAAAAGGATTTCAAAATATTAAATAAACCAACTGACCCAAAAATTCAACCGTTAAAGGAAAAATTTAGTCGCCCTTCATTTGCACCATATCCATATTCATACGAAATCGATCATTTAGAATATTCAAGAGGAAACGTTACTTATTTATTTGCCATTAACATTAACACCAGATATTTATATTGCATTCCGGTGAAAGGGAAAACAGAACAGGAAACAAGAAGAGCTATTCAATACTTACTAGATCATGAAAGAGTAGATAATATAAGGGGTGATGGTGATAAAGGATTTCAGGCAGCTATGGCTCATTATTTCCCACAAATTAATTTTTACTTTTCATCCTCTCCATATACGTTTCATAATAAAATAGTTGATGCGGTAATGAGAACTCTTAGAGATGCGTTAGGGGTTAATGGTCAGATATACTGGGATGGAAATCATGACTCCATCATACAGCAGTTAGTATATTATTACAATAATACATGGCATAGAACAATAAACATGAAACCGGTGGAAATGAAAAATGATATTTCAAAAGAATGGGAATATATTAGAAAGCAAATGGAAAGGTTGAATGATGTTAAACGTGAACAAATTAATTCGGGCTCATGAATTTTAAACAAGGGGATAAAGTTTTATTCATCTCGATTATGGAAAAACTGATAAATCAATGACAAAAAGAAGACGAAGATTTGACACAATAGCTGAATTTGTTAGATATATTAACGGCAATGCATTAGTTGAAGTTGACAATAAATTAATAGAAATTCCGATTTATTTTATTACTCCATTATATTTAAATAATATTTAATTTTTTTATTTCGTAAGAAATGAGTAACAACGAAGCAGTCAAGAGTCCAGACGATGAATATAAAAAGAAACTAAACAGAATTAAATCAAAAATATGTTATTACAAAAAGAAGCCACAATGTGGTGGGGTTGAAAACGATAAAGAGAGGAAAGAAATAATCGAAAAATTAGAAACTTATCGTTCAATCCTTAAACTGAGTGAAGCAAAAATAAAAGAATTTAATAGAATAAATAAATTGATTGGAAGAGATGAATTTAATAAAGATGAATTTTTAAACTCTATCCAAATTTAATTTTTATTCCTCTTCGACAACATCTCTCTTTCCATCATTACCGCATAACCACATTTTCTCAATTTTAGTGGTTTGTTATTTTTAACATGTTCTTGCATCATTTTTATCATTTCCTCCCTTGTTATGATTCGTGGTAAATTTTGAGCTTGTGGGGTATTCATTTATGATAAAAATAAAAATTTGTTATCACTTATTTTATCGTTAATGTTTTTAGGTTATTCAATAATTAATTATTTTTGAATAACTGGGAAATAAATTTACGTCAAATATGCAATTTATAAAATCTTATGTCGACAGGCTACGTAGCACAGTGGTCTAAGGTGGTGTTATGGAGGGGTCAAGGTCTGTGGTTCGAACCGCGACAGCGCCGTATTTTCTTATTTTCTTTATTTGTCTTGTTTGTCGTGAATAAAAAGTATCATAAAAGTGCTCTATCTTCCACGGGAATAAATAAAAAATTTACTTTATTTCTTCTTTATTTCTTCTTTATTTCTTTGTTCCCGTGGAAGAAGGGTTTTGCTGTTTTTTCTCAGCCGAAATCAATGATTTTTTCATTTTTGGAATCCTTAGCGAATGAGGAATCTTTTCTCTCGTGGAAGCTTTGACCTAAAATATAATTTAGGTGAAGAGGTGAGATATCACCTGTTTTTTCACCTGTTTTTATGGTAGTAGTGAAATAAAATTTTGTTATCAGTTATTTTATCATCATTTTATTAAGTTCATCTTTAGTTAATAATTTGAATGGATTCGCTAATGTTCCACCTTGAGTCACAACACTTGCCCCGGCTAATTGTGAAGAACCTGGGATAAGTACTCCATGAAATGATTTCATTGGTATCATTAATTTAGAAATAGTTGGCTTAATTAATTTGGTCATTTATGATAAAAATAAAATTGCATAATTTAAATTTTTTTTCTTTCTCATTTTCTCATTTTCTCATTTTTCATTCTGTTTTGGTTTCAGCAACTTTTCAAGTTGTTGTCTTGTCAGTAACTTTAATTTTAACTTTGGATCAAATATTGGGTTTCCATCTTTATCTCTTCCAATAACACCATATGGTAGAATCTTCATTTATACTAAAATAAAAATTTAAATTATGTGTTTGCTCTTTTGGAGCTCCTAAAGTTTGTTTCACAAACATTGAGCGTTCATTGAACTCTATACCATGCGAATACAGTCATAAATGGTGGCATGTAATCTTTACTTTGTCCCGTTGTTTGTGTATATCCTGAAACGATGTGTATGGTTTCCTTCTCCCTGAGTGTCACTCCAGTAACAATTTATGGCAAATTTAACATCATCTTTAACATCATATCCTTTACCTTTTGTCATTCCTGACCAATCCCAATATCTATGCTTATGCCAACCCGCTTGAGATGTACTTAAATCTATGTAGTGACTGTGTGCAGGTAAATTTTCACCCGTAATTGTTTTACTTCCCCCTGTTTCCTTTGAAGAGTTTGCACAATACAAAAACCTGTCGACTATTTGTTCCCATGCACCAACACCAAACATTGCTTGAGGACCTCTCACATCCATAGATGTATAAATAGAACCTACTGGGTTCATTAAATCAAACATATGAGATATTATAGGATTGTCTCTTTTGAACTTAAAATATAGTGTAACTATTTCGGGTTTCTTCTGGTTTGTGTCAGAATATTTTTTATAATATAATCTTATGTTTTCAGGGTATGTAAAATCTTGACTATAATATTTATTTTTGTCATCTGTATAATAATATACTATTCTCGTTTTTTCTATTGCATTATATCTTTTATATCTATAATATTCTAAATATAATGTTTGCTTTTTTGGGTCTACATGTGCGTCAACACCATAGTCATAATAATACGGTGCTGGAGCTACGTTAGACAATGTCATATCTACCATTTCATAAACTCTTAAATATTTCTTTTGTTCGTCTCCATATAAGTTTAAGTAGCAGTTGTTGTCTAATGGAACTTTAACTTGTGTGCCATTATTCTTTATATAGCCTACATACATTTCATTGTTATTTTTCGGAATGAGTTTATACCGTATACCATTTCTTAAGGACTGTACAAACTCCCATCTAAAATATTTGTTTTCTTCATTGACAGAAAAGTCGCCAACAATAGTTTCAATATTTTTTGTTCCAACTAAACTTTGGTATATTTCGTTAACAAATGATATATCTGCTTTCTTTGCTAACTCATCGTTAACAAATGATATATCTGCTTTCTTTGCTAACTCATCGTTAACATAAGTTTTATCTGCTTTCTTTGCTAACTCATCGTTAACATATGTTTTATCCGCTTTCTTCCCTAACTCATTGTTAACATAAGTTTTATCTGCTTTAAGGTCTAAACATTCTGAAACCCATCCTGTATCAGCTTTAGTTTTCAGAATCTTCGATGTCCGTTCATGATACCATTCAACCCTTTCTATAATTTCATTATCTTTTTCATTAACATATTCCTTATCTGCCTTCTTCTTAATCACTAGCTACAATCCTTATCTGCCTTCTTTGCTAACTCATCGTTAACAAATGATATATCTGCTTTCTTTGCTAACTCATCGTTAACAAATGATATATCTGCTTTCTTTGCTAACTCATCGTTAACATATTCCTTATCTGCTTTCTTCATTATGTCATTTAGGAAACCTTTTATGAATTCCTCATTTAAATTAAATCTTCCAATCTTCAAAACTTTAGGAAATGCATTTAATGCGTAATATCTTTGTTCTTCTGGTGGAATTGATGTTATATCATCCGTTATTCCTTTAATTTTTGAATTCATAAATAAAATTTCTTTTATATTTGATATCACTGCACCACCTTTGCAAACGAATTCGAAATGGTCATTTTTCAATACTATCTCCAAATCTCCATATTTCAACATTTGCGTTTGTTCTGCCGTCTTTGAATTATATGCATATATGGCGTATGTAATGGTCTGTGGTTGCTGTTGTTTAATCATTTATTACGATTTAAAAATAAATATTTAATCTGTTATCTCATCAGCTATTTTTTCTATTTGAAATTGCCATAATATTTCATTCATAAATTCTAAATCACAATCAAATAGGTCAGT